TGGCCCGTGTCTGACGTTGCGCGACACAAACCACCGTCCTTGCACTTTCAAGATAACCCTTTCCCTATTGCTGTGAAGTGATTCAGAATGAGAGCTACGCGGTGGAAGGCACTAGAGCTAGTAGGCCGAAGTCGGGGACTAACCCAGGGCAGGCCACAACCCCGCGGCCGGACGACCGACGGGATCTCCGCCCATCCTTGCCGCCCGCCCCGCTCTTTCCCCTCCGTCATCCACTTCTCCTCAGTCGCCCTCGCTGCGTGATTGTCCAACAATGGCGGTCTCCAAGAAACGATCTTCGTCACATCGCCGTCCTTATCAGCGCTGACCTCCGAAATTAATATAACTTAATTGCACCTGAGATTGGAGTGCTTCACTTGGAGATAGTTGGGGATGATGGCAGGTACGTACTCACCTGCTGCAACGCAGGTTGTTTGTTAGATCATACCATCTGGACGCTTGCTCTTTAGAGTACGCATAAAACCGTGGGCTCTTGACTACCGTTGGTGTTGTCCGTTGCAGAGAAGGTATATACCTCTCGTCCTACAAGTGTTCTACCAGCAATAAGAAGCCACGCATCAACTTGACAGCTAGTGGAGCATTGCGTAAGTAGGGGCAACTAGAACTGCCGCAATACTACTTCGCTTAGTCTCACCCCTGTTCACCTAGTCGCGTTGGACTCAACACGGGTTCTAAATTGTTCGCTGTCAGGCACTCTGCAGACGTCGCTTAATCTAGTGCCTGAATCCGATGACGTAGCTGGCGCATGGCTCGGGGATAGATGGTGATTCTATGCCATTAGGAACGCGTCGGTCTTCGTCAGGATCACAAACCTCAGCTCCGAGCAGGGCCAATTTCACTGGGTATGATTATGCGCAGTTGAGCAGGCCGTCGCGACACGGCGTCAATCCTCTCGAGCTGGCTCAATTACCATTCACCGAAAAGACTTAGAATCCTCTAGACTGGATCCTTAGAACTGCTTGAGAAAACCCAACGTCACGTGTCTCCTTATACATAGGCGTAGGTATGTGCGCTAGGTCTTTCTGTACCTTAGTTCTTTTCCAAGACGAAATAAACTTGTTAGCAAGATGTTACCAAGTTACCCAGGGAGGGAGAAAGGTATCCATTCATCGCTAGAGGCAGAGATTCGGCCAACCTGAATCCGCCTCGGAGATAGCCTTACACGGTCAATCACGACGTAGCTAGCCGTTCAGTAATACTCTAAAATTGGATAATGGCCTGGCCCATCGTGGGTGACGCCCACTACCAGAGTTCTGCAGTGTGAGTCTTGCTTGGGAGCCAATGTCGAGTTGCTTCTAGGTAAGCGTCGACCAGGCAGCCCGGATTCAGAGCTCTCTCACAGAAAAGTCACGTTTCGTTCTGATGGAAACCAGCAGGTTAAAGTAAAGTCACCCCCGGCCTCAGAAGTATGCTAAGGATAATTACATACGCAGGTTGTTCTAGAACATCTGCACAATCCCTCCTCACTTACCAGAAAACAGTCTAGGCAGATCTAGAATCTTCTCTTCTCCAAACGCTGCATTCTGTACTATGCAGAACCCGTATGATGCAATATCTTGCAGCAAGCAGTCATACCTGATACATAATCAAGGGGAAACAGGTTGCATGAGCCGTCGTTGTAACATTGCCCACAGTTCTCTCTAATGTTCTACATCTCATGCACAAATTACAGCCACATTTTAGTTCCTGCACGGGATCAGCAGCAGGGAGTGCACTTCTATCCAGACTTGTCTGTTGAATAAGTATGCATTCTCTGCCTGGTCAGCTGCACTACAACTTTGCAAACATTTATTATCAATCCCATAATTGTTAAATAAACAGGTCCATCTGAGTGGTTTCCGAAAGAGAATTTTGTTGTAGTTGAATATCACTATCTAAGCTATAAATTGAATGATGGCCTTCGATCACCAAGTGAGTTTGGTCACGTGACTCCCCAATTTTCGAGGAAGAATTGACTGACTGTATCGTCCATGAGACTTACCACTATTGTAGTCTTTTATATTAGTCGTGTGATATGATAAATTCGGAAATTTGGAGGCAATTGCTATTGGAAATGTAAGGAGCGGAGGAGAGGACCGATATATATATCGAGATGGGCTGATCAGAATCAGCATCTGAAAGTCAACTCCAACAACGGAACCGCACAACAAGGAAACTGTCGACAGATTGATGAAGCTCAGTGATGGGCGACTTGGAATAATCTCCTGAATCCCTGGTGGTTGGTTGTTTGTGAACCAGCGGAGATCTCAAGGTGGAGGTAAATCGCATAGGATCACGTGACACGATTACGTAGGAACACCGATTAGGAGTAGGACACGCAAATAATCAAAGAATAACGAATGGTTTTGATTTGAGTCACTGGGACCTTTTTGAATAGAAGGCAGGGAGGCCTGCAGTCAAAGTCCAGAGTGAGCAGCGGAGAATCACCACACCACAGTCCTACTGCTGCCTGCAAGCCCCGCCAGATTGAAGGAGAGACGTATCTATTTAACTCTATAATACCTCTACAACACCAGAACACCAAGCGAACACCCGTCCCCGACACAGCCTCCCCGAGCTTACTTCCCGTTCTTCCCCTCCAAATCTACGGGGAAATTCTCGCGAATCGACTTGCCATACCGATTAAACAGGATCGGCACCGGCACGAAAGCCAACGCAATAAATCCGAGCAACGAATTGCCCCAGCCCAGCCCGAGGGCATCGAACATGGCCGGGCCCGCGAGGGGCAGCAGCGCGCCGACGAGCGACCGCGTGGCCGTGAGGGCGGCGTTGGCAGACGCCGCGTACGCCGGGTAGCAGTCAATGACGTAGGTCTGAATGGGCATGTAGATGCCCATCATGCCGATGCCGAAGGGGGCCATGCCGATGATCGGCACGATCCATTGCACTTTGTACTTGGCGGACCAGCCGTACCAGAAGAAGCTGATGGGCAGGATGCAGCTGAAGAAGATCATGGTCACCAGCCGCATCTCGGGCTCAAACTTGCCCCCGTTGCGCGCGGTCAGCTTGGCCACGATGCGGTCGCTCGAGAACGCGATCAGCGTTAGGCCCGTCAAGAAGCCGATGCCGATCCCCAGGTAGGCCAGTCCCGAGATGCCCGTCGACCAGCCGTAGTCCTCCTGGAAGACGGAGGAGATGGTCGTGAAGAAGAGGTAGAGGAGTCCGTAGACGAAGGCCATGTAGACGGACAGCAGCAGGACAATGGGGGACTTGAACAGGAGGAGGAAGGGGCGGCTGAGCCCCAGCTTCAGGGCCTCGCTGAGACGGGGCCCGCCCTGGCTGCTGGATTTGTCGTACGCGCTGCGCAGGTCGCTTCGGTTGAGCTCTTTGGCGAGCTTCTCGGTCTTCCACCGGATCAGGACCGGGGCGTAGGTCTCCCGGTTAAGAACCTCGATACCCGCGGAGATGCACCCGCCCGCGATGAGCAGGACCCAGAACACCCAGCGCCAGCCGATGGTTTCGCCGATGAAGCCGCCAGCGATGGGTCCGGCAACGGGGCCAATCAGAGGGCCGAGGGCCCAGATGGAGGTGGCCATGCCACGTTGTTCGGTGGGGAAGAGGTCGGCGATGACACCGGCGCCGAGCGTGAGACTGCCGACACCGCCCATGCCGGCAAGAAGGCGGAAGACAATCAGCGCGGAGATATTGGGCGCGAGGGCGCAGCCGATCTGCCACACCACAAAGAACCAGTTGGCGCAGCTGAGCACGATGCGACGACCGTAAATCTCACTAAGAGGGGCAAGGAAGAGGGGTCCGATCTAGCACAAGGTATTGGTTAGATTCAATATGACAGGATCGAGTCCGGGTAAAACGTACCGTATACCCCAGCAAGAAGATAGTAACACTGAATGATAGCAGGTATTCGTTGGACACCCCAAAGTCCTTGCCCACGTAGCCCACCGCCGGAGAGAACATACTCGACGCGAGAGGCGAAATAAAGGTGATGGAGCTGATTAGAGCGAGCAGGCCCCATTTGCGCCCACTGGCGAAATTCTGTGGGTTGTGAGGATCATCCTGCCCGTCCCATCCCACGATCCCTTGACTGAGGTCGGTTTCGGGAAATAGTGGACGTGTTGGTGTAGCGGTAGCCGGGACAGTTGTATCCTCTGTTAGGGTGGGCTGGTCGTTGGATGTGCCCGAGTAAGCGGATTTCTCCGAGAAGCGCCGTTGGCTTTCCACGTCCTCCATTATCCGCCCAGTGAGTTTCCGCCAATCGGAGAATTAGTCGTGCTGGATATTTAGTAGTTTATAGAAAGAGGACGATCGCAGAGGTGAAGAAATGATTAACGAGCGGATAAGTGAGGTGATGTAGATGAAACTACAACGGTATTAAATATGTACTAGAAAGAGAAAATTTTAGTGAGTACGAAAAAAGAACTGTAAAAGGCAAGGCAAGGGCGATGCTTGAAGATTATAAATGGGGCTGTTGACGATAGGATTGGGGCTAAAGTTGCTGGCAGCATAAAAACATGCATAAACCAGGATGCTGTCGGCGATGTCGGCTGCATATTAACCTTGTGCATGAGCACAAATTGTTGTGCTGAAGTCCACAGCGGACACTCTTCGAGGGTGATTGGTTTGAGTCGGCAAAGGATTGCAAACCTGAAGCAACCCAGCATATAATAAGAGCGGGGATAGGCGTTAAGTGTCAAGTTTCTTGCGCAGCTGAATCTGATTTGAGGACAACCCCGGGGAGGAAGCGCTGATTCAGTGCTTCATGATAACCAATGGGCTGGGCAGCTCTGAATGAACCCGGGCAACACTGAGTCAGTGACCCACTCTCGGCATTGAGTCGACCAATCCGGTTTGTCACGCTGCTCTTCTGTTGTGACCTGACCACTGTTTCTCGTGTTGGTGAAGTTGATCTCTTCCCAGCATGGAAGAAAAATGTGAACCCTGCAAAGTGTTTGTCATGCTTGCTGACCGTGATGACACAAATTCGGCACGATATCCGATCGCACGTGGCCGGAGTCGGTTGTGGCACCAGCCCTTGCTTCGAACATATACTGTACATGTGCTACATGGTTCCTAAGATGAGAATCTTTCGATGATTGCGCCATGGTTCAAGAACATTTCTTCGCGTGAAGCCTTTAGCACTGACTCGTGTTTTTACAACCACCTGCTTGTGTTGAGGCATGTGGCGTTGACTCAGCGGGCAGCCTTGGACATCCCTGCTTTCACCAAGCCCCGACCCCTGTCAACAGGCGTCACAAGACAACCCCCCACTTTACCTGGAATAAAGAGCTTTCCGGATATCCTCCAACCATGCTTCCTGGCTCGTGTTCTGATCACCGATGTATGCAACCGCAGTCATGGCTACTCGGTACTGTACCCCTCACCGCACAACTTCCGTCCTCAAATCGGCCGGCCAAACCGGCAAGTCCACTCCATTACCCCGCGTCCCCACGTTATACCCAAGCTCCACGGCCGCCCGCCCGAACTGCGCAACAGGCTTTACTACCCTGAAACTCGCGCCAATCGCAGCTGAGTGACGAGTCTCGAAAAATTGTGGATGGAAAAGTGTCTGCGCGTCGTGCTGGTGCAACAGTTTCATCATCTCCGGCAGAAGGTGTGGCATGGCGTGGTAGTGGCGGAAGACGGGCGAGCCGTGGCGCGTCCACAGCTCGGACCAGACCTCCTGGTCGTAGGTGCCGCACGAGCGGACCAGCCATTGCGAATAATAGTTGAGAGAGACCTACGCGCGATGAACCTGGTTAGCTGGAGCTCTTCGAACGAAAAGGTGTGGATGGCGTGCCGTACATCAATGCCATAGCTGCCACCGTGGTCTGCTCTTCGTACCAGTGCTTCGAGGATGGCGGCGACTCCCGCAACGCCAGTGCTATATAGCATCCACACCTGTTAGCGAATTGCAGCTAGAAACCAAGACCGACCGAGCCAACTCACCAATAATCCGAGTTAGGGAATACAGGTGTTACAGGTTCATTCAAGCCCATCGCCTGCCCATAACTCATCGATACACCACAACACTATCGCAAAATTGCTGAGTCAGCCGCGTGAGAAGGAAGTACTGGGTAGGTGTGCTCACCGCATCACTAATCTGCTGCCACCCACTCCGATGGCTCCAAGGCCCATGCCACCCATAACAGTTCTCGCGGACATGCAGGATCCCGTACGATCGATCTTTCACCAGGTCGAAAACATCCCGCCGACTGAACCCCAGCCGATCCATCACGCCAGGCCGATATCCGTCCACGACCACGTCCGCCTCGCGGATCAACTGCCGCAATCGCTCCCGGTCGACCTCCTCCTTTAGGTGCAGCGAACAATTCCATTTCCCCCAGTTGAGATCGGGATGCAGCACCGACATATCCGTGAGATGAGGCGAGGTGACCCGCATGACGCTGGCGCCCAGTTCGGCCAACCCCCGGGTGATGGAGGGCGCGGCAATCACCCGAGTCAGATCCACGACCTTGAGGCCGGCGAGCGGTCGCTTGGGTGATGACGGCAGGCTGGGCTGTTCGGGCCACCAGGACGGGGGCTGGGCGGCGTGCGCATCCTTCTCGATCTCATATAATCCCACGTGGCTGTTTTGGCGACCGTGCTCCGAGGCGAAATACTCGTCCGAGGTCCATGCGACCGTGCCGGCCTGGCGCGACTGTTCGTTCATCAGGTGGTCCAGCATGGCGGAGTCGTGCTGGGATACTGCGCTCTGAAGGCGCTCGACCGCTGACTGGTATGTATCTTCTGCGGGTCCGTCGAGAGGGAGACCCAGCGCTGTCAGGGTTGAGTCAGGGTTCATGCTGCCTGCATACGGTGTCATTTAGATGAGTCCTTGACCATTTTCTGTGCGTTCAGAGGGACGCCACCTACCATGTATATGGTAGAACCGACCATCCTTGGTCTTGTAGATATTGGTCGCGAGACGGCGATGGTCGCCATCGGTCGCCCGATGTTTGTCCTGCTCGGGAAACAGCTGGGCCATGCTGGGGTCGAGAAGGCTGATCGGCTTGGGCTTGCCATCGGAGTCAACTATCTGTGCAAGTAATGGACTCATATAATACAGCGACGCATGGTCTCTACCACGCCATAGATTGAATCTTGTCAGCCAGATCCACAAGCTGGGTTTCAGCTAGGCGTAGACTCACGTGTTGATAGTGACTCCGACCGGGTCAACCTGATACTTTCGTGTGATCAAGTGATTGACCATGGTCGCTTCGAATGCCTTCAGCGCGGAGATGCTCTCTGCAAACCTCCAGTTGATGGGGATGCTGGGCTGTCCGGAGCCCACGAACTGCACATATTGAGCTAGCTTGCGCAACTCCGGGGGAAGATGGCTGAAAAGCGGGTTGTTCAGGATGCCAGTCTCGAAGACCTGGTTCGATTCCTTGGGGACCGAGTAAGTGGATGCTGATGGCATGTTGATTGCTAGGATTTTCTGTTAAACGCAAGTATACCGGTCGGCAGACGGGGTTTTCAGAAGAACATCTTCTAGGGAGATCGACGCAGTATATGAGGGAAAGACTTGCGCTGAGCATGCTTCACCTGCCAATGACCCCGTCCTACAACAAATCAACCTCACCCTTGTCCCAACCCCACCTTCCCACATCAAACGACTCGGTTGCACAGCATACGATGGTTGCGTGGTGGGTTCACCGCCAGGCGGACAGTCTCCGGTCGCCGGAGACGCAACCCCCCAGCATTGATCGGCGGTGCGACCCACTGCGGTTATGATGGGGCTACGTGGATAGTACTGTGCTTATGCAGACTTTGCTAGACAATAGCCTTTCCAACGGGGGGGGCAGTCTTATTTCCTGTCCAAGGGAGTTTTGATAAGGTTGATGATAACCGTCTATATTGCAGGTCAAGATCTTGGCTTTCCAGCTCCTTCCACACCACCTTAGGACTACGCACGGACGGACAAAAGTCAGAATCAAGCATATTCGAGAGGAAACCTCTGAGATTATTGAAGATGATGACATTTTTCTTCAAAGCAAAAAACAGTCTAAACAAACGAAATGCCAGTTCAACATAGAAAAGGGGATGATCCATCCGGCGATATCCGACCAACCACCTAGAGCTCAAGCTTCTCAGAAGCTTTGCGCTCTTCCCAGCGGTTGAGGGTATCCTGGATGCTGAGATCAATCGTCACCTCGGCCTGGTCCTCGCCCCTAGTCGCACTGAGCGACAACTCGAAGTTCCAGCCGCCGGCTGGCGTGAGCCGCACGAACCACTCCCGAAACTGCCGGGGAAGGACTTTCTGAAACTTGGCGCTATAGGTCTGGACCTTGCGCAGGACAGCAACCACATCCGGAGAAAGGAACACCTCCTCGATGACGTAGTGCTCGATCTTCTGCAACATGTCTGCAGGCGTGATGTCCTGCTCCTCTCCGATGTGCATCACATGGTCGACCACGTCCTCCAGCTCGGGCAGGAGGGTGCGAACGTCCGGCACGAGGTCATCGACAGCGCGGTGCAGGAGACCCACCGTGAGCTCGAGGTCGTGCAGGTCCTCCAGCGTGGCCTCTTTCATGAACTGTTCAACCAGAACGTTGGCGAACCCCCGGCCGAACATGAGATCGCAGACCTCCTGGATCCCCGCGAAGTGATCCCCCGCCTGGCCGGGAAGCAGCGCCAAAAGCTCCAGGACCACCTCGTTCATCAGACGCTCGAGGTGTGTCACGAGGTCGACGCCTAGGGCGTACGCCTCGGGCTCGGGCTTCAACTCCATGAGACAGCCTTGCTCGCGGAGATACCCATGCATAACGCTGTCGGTCATGGAGATGTCGAAATCCGCGGTATGCGGGTTCTACACCGCGTAAGCATGATACCGTTCGGCGTCGAGCTCCGCGCCGGGATAGGTGTGGTTTGCCATTCCCATTACAATCGCCGCGAGGCCAACGAGGAGGGGGTAGATGAGCGTGGCAGTGATTCGAGACATTGTCTCAAGGATAGGAGGGCTTGGGTGGAAAAGATGCGCACAGTGACTGGTATCCGTCGGGTCTGGTAGTGGTAGACTTGACCTTGAAGAAAGAGCCAGTGATGATCTTGGGAGTATAGTCAGTTGGCACCGACCGTGGCTTTATAACCTTCGACTATAGCATTGTTTATTTTCTGAAAGAATTGACAACCACCACTTTAGCGTAGGATTTCGGGAACCTCACAATGAGCTGTCATTATGAATATCGGGTCTTAGTCTAGAGCTGTTAAAGTTACAATAAAGAATTGTTTTAGTTTATACAAGCTTCGCAAACAAGCTATGACAGTGCTTGATTATCTTTTCATTGTTCCAATAAGTACGCTTATAGCCTTCGTAGTGCTAGGCTATAGGTACTAATTGTTTATCATGCTTGTGGTAGTCGAATATATGCTCTTTCTTGTTATATTATTGATTGTCAAAATAAGATCGTTGCTGTCAAGGTAAACCTATTGGTAGTCTACCATAAACACCACAAGGTCACTAGGAAGCTTTTATACCTGGGGTGCTTCTTTATATGGGTCTAGAAGGCTAGAATATACTCTTTGTGGATCTTGTTGACATAATACATCAAATACTATGAAGCTATGATCTGTACGTTTCCTGAAAGAGTATCTCATTTGCTAACCGGGTAACGTGAGGCTGTACAGATATGGCCTGGGCAAAGATCCCACGCTGTGAGAATACACAATAAACCATCTTCTAGTCCGCCTGCGCCTGAAGTTCGGAAGAACGTACCCTCTATTGCAACGGCTGAACCTTTGAAGAGATCCGGAGTCAAAGCAAGGCGAGGTGGAAGATTGAGGGCCAGCCGCGTTCTGTAATCATAGAGAAATGCGTTGACCAGGAGTTAGTGATCAGGTAGAAGACCCGAGAGCTTCGCTGATATAGAGCCAGAGAAGAGATCCTCAATATCCCGCTCATCTGCCACTTTCTCCGGTCTAACCAGTACAGACAGCTTTCTAGGACTGGAAGAACCACGGAGGAAGACCTCAGTATATAAAAGCTTCTTGTTTCCTTTCTCGACTTCTTTCTCTTCATCATCCTTTCCCCCCCTGTTGGTAATATTAGCAATAATATTCAGCTCTTTCCAGCCTCTTTCCAGCTTCCTTCAGTTCTCTTCAGATCTCTTCAGCCCTTTCAAGATCTCTCCAGTCCTCTTCAGCCCCTACAGCTGGAACACTGTCAAGACCTACAATTTCACCAAGGCTACGGCTTTCGACATTGGCAAATCAACATTCACTACCTGGAACAAGCGTTGTGCTCACCAGACACGGGTAAGAACCAGACACGGGTAAGAGAAAGCTTGCGACAGCTTAACAACCGCCCCTTCCGGGTCCACAATTGATGCTGGTCTGCCCACACTTGCTGACTTATAATGCAAACCGAAACAAACCCAAGCTTTTACTCAACTGTGAATACCTCAATCAAAATGCCAACCCCAACTTCAGGTCCGTCCACCCTTAGCTTAGAGTCCAGACTCTTAACCCCGCAGCTAACCAACCTCCCAGCCCCCACCACCCTACCTTCAACCGCAATCCAGCCAAGCACCTGGACCGGCCTCTCAACCTACAGCGCCGACTGGGCTCGCACCATTCCAAAGAACCAAAAATTCCTCACCGGCGCCCTGGGCCTCCTCACCACCGCCGAGCTTTGGGACCTGATCCACACCGACACAGAGCTCGCCCCAGTCCTCCGGGACTTTATCTCGGCGAGAGGCACCTGGTTCGGCGCCGACGGGTTCCTCCGCACCAGCCAGAAGCAGACCTGTTTCCATACGGTCATAAGGTCGTGGGCGATCCGACAGAGCACGCGCACTTTCTCCGTGCCGACCACCCCCCCTCTCTGGGCGAGCTGCACGGCCCGCAAGAAGTTTACCGCCTACGCGCTGCTGCGGTGGGCGATGGCGTTGCTGCGCGCGAAGCCGCGGCTGTTTCCCCGGACGGATCTGACACCGGGCGCGGAGCGGGTCGATGCGTTCGAGGTATTTGTGGCGGCGAGGCTGCTGAACTACGTTTATCATCCCCAGGCTCATTGCGGTGGGCTTGCGAAGCAGGTGAGGCCGAAGAAGGTGGTTCCGGCGGTTGCTCCGGTCAGAGTTGGTGGTGTTTAGGCTGAGGTATTGAGGGGGAGTTGGAGTAGGATCTCGGTTTCTCTGGTGTGGAGATGGTAGGACTAGAGTATTCGGAGCAAGTGTTGGAGATATGGAGAGTGAGGTGGATGAAATGGCAGGGAGACTGGCTTTGAATGTACATGACAAGATTTGTGCTTTGTGGTCCAAATTAAAGAACCAGTATATGGGAAGCGGTTGTCTTTCCAGTCTTTCTGGGCCCAGCACACAATATTTCTCTCAATCGGGTCGAGGATCCAATCACTGGCGAAAATGTAAGCCCACTGGCTCGGAAGGGTGACATGGTTCTGGTTGAGTCCACGGTAGACAAAGAATCCAAGTCTTAAACCGACATGTTTGAGGCGAAGTAAACGGTTTCGAAGAACATCATAAATTTATTCGGAAGAGTCCAAGCGGCAGACAGCACACTCAACAGACAATGACATGATCTTCTGCTCGGGGTAAAGCGCTGCCCTATGTGGACGAACTCTATTCACTCACTTAGGGCTAGCCCAGGAATGTTGGATCCATGATCGACCGGGTAGACTTGAGCAAGTGGCTTCATCTGTACTGGGTGGATGAGGTGATGCGGTTCTTTAATAGCCTGCTGGGTGTTGTGGCGGGCAGCCGGTCGGATCTTGTGTTCAAGATCCTCGTGACCATATCGAGATGCGAGTTCTGCGTCGCAACGGTTTCTTTATCGAGGGAAGCTATCCATGACAAGTAGGGTAGCCTTGGGCAACCGACTGGAGAGATGCAGTCCATCTTCTGACAGTGTTGTCACTGCTGCTTAACGGTGGTTCTAGTCTTAATCACGTGTCGGGTCCCACCAAGGCAAACGCAGGCCTACAAATATCCTCTGGAGTATGCATGCAGCTGTGAGAGAAGTGTCAACATGAATCATAAGCTTTCAAGTTTGTATTCCTTTCTTCTTTGGGAAGTGCGGGTCCATTCCGCCAGTCTCTGAGTCACATTCCTCCTCCACTCCCAGAAGCAGCAGGGGAATGAGTCAGAAGATAGGTACGGAGATTTTGACTTGGTCTGAGGTCAGCAATAACATCCTTTCTTATAGCCGTCGTCTGATAAGTACCGGTAAGCAGGCGGCTCGCGACTAGTACAGTACTGTACGTACACGCTAAGACTTGTCGGCTGGGGCCGAGGTCAAACCCGGTATATCCGGATTGTCCAGTAAAAAGAGAAGTTTACTACACAAGTGACAATTATTATTTAGATCAGGTTACTCCCTATAGCTCAGCTAGCACGCCATTCTTATCGTGGATGTTCCATTCGCCTAACCCCCTAATCACGCGAATGTCAAGTGAAGGGCGCTAGTTTGCGGATGTTAGTCGAAGGGCGTCAGATCCGGTCTACTTAAATCCATCGATTGCCGCGCAGCAAAATACGCCTCATTTTTGTTTAGTTTCCCTTGTTCTCTCTGCCCTTGATTTGTATCCAGTTCTTCCCACCATATTCTAAAAAGGGACCTCCGCTACTACATTCACTCCCTACCCCACCGGCCAAACCCCAGTGGGCCTCGAGCTCAAAATGATCCACTTCCGCCTCGCAACCGCGGCCGACGCCCCGCGCCTGCGCGACCTAATCGAAACCGCCTTCCGCGCCGCCGACACCCGCGCCGACTGGACCGGCGACCTAGCCCTGGGGGCGCGCTTCCACGTGCAGCTGGACGACATGCTCGCGCGGATCGCCAACCCCGACGGCGCCTTCCTCGTTGCCACCACCACCACCACCACCAACGACTCTCAGGACAGCTCGGAAGAAGAACAGAGCGAGGAGGTAATCGCCTGTGTCAACATCTTCAAAAAGCCCCAAGCCGACCGGGACGCCATCGCCCGACTGGCGCTTTTGGCCGTCGATCAGCGTCATCAGCAGGGCGGGCTCGGGCGGCGGGTCGTGGCGCATGCGGAGAAACGGTGCCAGGAGATGTGGGGGGTCCGGCGGACGGGGCTGAATGCGCTGGATACTCGCGTTGCGTTGATTAGGTGGTATGAGCGCTGTGGGTATGTGCGGACGGGCGAGGTGTCGGTCATTCCGTTACCGCCGGATGAGTTGAGGCTTGTGGAGTTTGAGAAGGATTTGGGTTAGGGGTGGAGTTGGAGTGAAGTGTATGAATGGTGGATTCGACTACGGGAGGCTATCCGAGCGAAAGTTCCACCATAGGTCGCGGCGCCCGGTGGGTTCGAGGCGCTTATCTGCTGGTACTCCGGGCAACCTCGGAGAGGGTATTGATCGGTTGGAGGAAAAAGGGTGGTGGTTGATTAAACCTTGGCATTATGAAATGGGTCCATGCAGAACGGACAGTACATTGAATGTGGTTAATATTTCAAGGTTGAGATGGACATTTGGAAGCTTCCCAGGATACTTGCTCACGGACGTTCTGTTGTCGGGGACTTTGTGACACTATATAGAAATGGTCAATGACTGTGATATACTTAAGACTACAAGTGGATCTCATGGCGCTGGGGAAAATCCTTGAATACTTGGAGTTGATGGCTTTATTCCTCATCAAGATAAGCGCTGCACACACGCAGCGAATGCTAGAAATATTATGAGGGGGTTTAAAGCGCTATCAAAGACGATCCTGCACTTGGCTGAGTAAAGGTTGAACCCCACTCGGTACAACGGAACTTTGGTAATTGGTTGACTGGAAGAGTAATGGGCGCTCTCACTGTGGGAGGTGCGATATACTATTAACTGGAAGTAGAACGAAGACTCGACAAACAACAACTTGAAAGCATCACGACCGAAGAGGTTCACAAATCCACAGAAAACCCTGCGAACCTCCACAAGTGTAAGTTGCAGCAGAGCGATACAAAGTCAAACAAAAATACTTTGCGTAAACAGGAACCTGATTTCACAGCTTGTCAAACACCGCAATAGCAGCCTGGGCAGTCGACGTCGCACTCGCGGGGTTCTGCCCGGTCACCAGCCGCCCATCCACCACATGGAAATCATCCCAGATGCCAGCCGACCGTTCATCTGCTCAGCCCCAAAGAATTAGCTTCTCGTTCAGAATTGTAGGAGATTGAATGCAAGAAACTTACACTTCGCCCCCAACCGCTGCGCCAGCTCCTCCACCATCTCCGCTCCGAGCCCGCGCAACTCCGTCATGATTCCCATCGTCTCTTCAGCTTCAGTAGTGAACCCCGTGATCTTCCGCCCCTGGATAATCGGGGCACCTGTCGCTCGGTCGCGCAGGTCCGCGAAAATAGCAGGTCCGTGGCAGACGGAGGCGACCACGCCGCCGGCCGCCCACACCTGCTCGGCGATCTGCTGCAGCGCGCGGGCGGTGGGGTAGTCGATCAGCGCGGCGTGGCCCGCGGAGGCATAGAACAGGCCATACTCGCCTGCAGAGTGGGCCAGAATCTCAGCGGCGGGGCGCATGTGGTCGAGCTTCTGCCGGAACTCGCTGTCCAGATCGTTCCAGATGGCCAGATCCTCGCCGTGCAGGAAATCTGGTTGCTGGGAGAGCCAGTCCGCCGTGTAGCTGCCGGTCTCAGACGCGAGATCGACTTCGAAGCCGGCGGCCACGAGGGCGCGGTAGGGATGCAGCGCCTCGCTGATGAAGAGGCCGGTGCGCTCTTTGCCGTTGAACAGGGTGGCGCTGGCGGAGGTCACTGCGATTAGGGCTTTGCGTGCCGGCATGTTTTCGATTGATTAATGTTATTGGGGGAGAAGGAAGTAAGATGTGGGTTGGTTTTAATGATGCTGGTAAACTGTGCTGCTTGCTGTTTTCCGTGCTTGTTGATTATTCTTCTCAAGCCAGGAAATCTCCGGCTATTTATGGTCCTGCTTTGTGGAATACGAGGGGACGCGGTCAAGGCGTAGGACATCCGGACTTGCGGAGCTGGGGAGTTGCGGAGTGCAGCAAGAGCCCATACAATGGCTGTTATCGATAAGGATTCGCATTGCATTCTCCCGCAACTCCGTCGCCCAATCAGTGAAGCCAATTCACGTGATTATGCACAGATACGACCAAGCACTGCGCTAATAGGCACCATCAACCCGCGTCAGCATCTCAGCCCGATCACTCTGCTCACCGTTCCTTGAGATTTGATGATTACCTACCTACCAGACTCATCACCAGTCATGAGCGTTCCAATTACTCGGCTGCCTAATACACATTGTCCTCGGAAGAGTCAACATAACAAGCAGCAGCAGCAGATCCTCCAACGGCGCAAACGGGCGCAGGTCGCCCGAGCGTGCGGCAATTGCCGTGTCCGCCGGATCCGATGCGACAACCAAACCCCATGCTCCAACTGTGCCCTAAGTCGGACGGTCTGCAGCAACAGCAGCGCCCCCGTCGCGCTCACCCTGTCACAGGCCAACCAGGAGATCGCCTTGCTCAAGCAGAAAGTCCAAGAGCTTGAATCCAAACTCGAAGGCTGCACTTGCCGCAATGGAGACCACCTTACATCTGACTTAACCTTGCGCAAGCCGCCTGTCGAGATCCAGGTTGAACCAAGAAGTGAACCTCATCAAAATGCTACCCCGCATCTCCCCTGGGGAGGGATCCATTTCCGACCTGCCCGCTCGTCCAACAGTCTATGGCTGGGCCCGTCATCACTGTACTCGTACATTCAGCGGATCAGTGGCTTTCTAAGCCTTCAGTTGGACCAGGAGCAGCCCGCGCACCAGCTGCTTCCCATCTCCGCCAGTGATAACAAGCTCCTCGACCGACCCACCATCGACTCAACCAAAAGCCTAAACCCGCCTCTATCCCCAACAACCTCTGTTTATCTGACTCCCCTGCAGGAGGACTTTTTCATCAACCACTTCTGGCAGACCTACCACGTTTCCCTCTTCCCCATCATAAACGAGGCGCAATTCAAGCAACACTACGCCAGCCTATGGACGGCAGGCGGTAAGGAACGGCGACCGTCGGCACTGGTCGACATTGTGGTGGCGATGTGCATGCAGTACCACATCTCCACCCTGCCGGCAGATTCACAGAGCGGGCTGCTGGACGGCCAGGATGCCCTCGTGGCCGGCCGATGGCACTATTGGCGGGGCCAGACACTGCTCGCCTACGAGCTCGAAAGTCCCTCCATCGCCACGCTGCAATGCCACCTACTCTGCGCCGTCTACCTTTGCGGGGGTTCCTTCCACAACATGATGGACAGCACGGTGAGTCTCGCCGTGCGCACCGCGTACATCTTGGGTTTACACGTGGACCCGCCGGCGAGTCTGCCGGAGTCCGACCGCGAGCTGCGGCGGCGGCTGTGGTGGGCCGTCTATGTAATGGACAGCCGAGCGGGGATGAAGCTCGGGCGCCCGTTCATGCTCCCCGACCGCTCCCGCCAGGCCATGCCGCAGCTCCCAAGCGACACCCTCGCTACCGCGGCCAGTTCCGGCTCGGCCTTTGTGCCCATCGGCGAGGACACGACCTGGTTGAGCTTCCACCGGTACCAGACGACGCTTTACATGACCATCCGCGACGCCTACAACGCGCTGTTCACCGCTGATCTCCATCTCGACGAAGGCCAGACCATCTGGGATGACCCAGCTGCGCTAGAGACCGGCGCCGAGATCCTGGCGCAACATACCACGCGCACCACCCAGTGGGCGGAGAGCGTTCCGCGCGCCCTGCGGCTGCAACGCGAGGGTACGGGATCGGACCGAGCCTTCGCGACCGGCGACACGCGCCTGGTCTTCGAGCCGTTCACCCCACCGTGGCTGCAGCGGCAGTGCGTGCTACTTGAGCTCACCTACCACCACCAATGCACCAACCTGTACCGGCCCGCCATCTCCTTCCAATGCTCCCCGCCACCGGGCGGTCACGCCGAAACGCTAGCCCGGCGCTGCGCCGCCCACGCCATCGCCGTCTCCCAGCTCCTCCACCAGGTAATGGACGAGACCTCTCTGGTCAACGGGTGGCACGACGCGTTCTACATGCAGTGGAACGCGGGCATGACCCTGCTGGGGTTCCTGATGGTCTACCCTCACGGTCCAATTGCGCCCGAAGCGCGGGCCGCGATCGGGCAGGCGGTCGCCGTCTTCGAGCGCTTCCGCGCCGGGTTCCCCGTCGCCGGCCACGCGAGCAAGATTCTGCTGGGCCTGTCGGGCCAGGCGGATCTTGTTGCTCGATTGAGTGAGGGAGGCCAGGAACCGGAAGAGGAGCGGGAGCGGGAGCGGGACTCCGGGGACGGTGATCTGCGCTTGCCCTCCACCTTCGATGCTTGGGACTTGCCGCAGGACTTAAATGCAGATCTGCTGAATTTGGCTGGGGACGTGGATTTCTGGAATCAGGTCGATCTGCTGTGGCCGCAGGCGCCGGACTTGCTGGACTTGGCTTCGTGTTAGAGGGTAAAGGGCGGAGTTGGCTACCAAATACTGGTGCGTCGAGCTTACCATGCTGCACATCATATATTTGAATGTTCTTATTTTGCAGGTTTTCGCACATCCTGAAGAGACTGTTAGTCCGACAAGGCACAAACAGATAAACAAAAAACATACAACAGAAGGGATTCGCTGGTGGTCACCCACCCAACTACTAACCTCCCGGCGTGTGGCTTAAGTACGGCTGAGCGGACGGGAAGCCCTGTTTTCCACACCCTGTGGTCGTATGTGCTTGAAACCCCCGCAAATAAATTAATAATCAGAAGCTAGCTAACTGATTCTCTCGCTTTGGGTCTGGCTTCCTTGTCACTTACCGAATCCAGTGTTACATTGAGGCTTGGTTATGGGAAGATCATGGAAATCTTGACCCTCCAATTTGCATACCGTTCGCTGTCAAAGGAGCAATGGTACACTATGTAGAGATGATGTGAGGGATGCATACGTGCATATTTTTCTTGTAATCACAGTTTCCCTGATTCTGTGAACTGTTACCTAAGATATTTTTTGGATTCTGCAACTAGTAGAACTATTCCACTTACTACATCCTGTCTTGTCTTTCAATAGCTAAATCTTGTAGGGAAAAACAAGGAGAGAGAAAGCGAGAAAGAAGGAAGAAAAAAAAAAAACTATCTCAATCAGTATCTCAATGATGAGAAAAGAAAGGGCGGGACAGAAGTTTCTACTATCACTACTTGATCACCTCTAGCATTTCAAGTCATATCTCTAACCTCACTATGAAAAGAGTAAATGTCCCACCCTTTGAAGGACGTGGCCCTGCTAGAACGCACAGAAGCCATCCACTTCCTGCAACTGCACCCCCCCCCCCCCCGCTTCTATCTACGCAGCGCCATTCGTCAACATGGTAGCCACCATCGAACTCTTCCCGGCGACCAGCCTCACGATCTCCCTGAAGGTGACATTCCCCAAGATCTCGAAGACGGCAACGTCGGCGTCGAGCTTGAGCTTGAACCAGTTGCGCAGCTCGACCGCCATGAGCGAGTCGACGCCGTAGACATTCAGCAATCTGCCGACGTCCAGATTCTGTAGGGGCACGCCCAGGGCGGTGCTGAGGCGCTGCATCAGACAGTCAGAGATGACGGCCGCGGCCTGATCCAGGGACTTGCACTCGATCAACCGGTCGACGATCTCCGGGGGGCGGTCATCGTTGGTGGAAACCGCATTGGCGTCCGGGATGTTCCAGCTGCCGCCGAACAGCGGGCGGTGCATCATGCTGGGGACCTCGATGCCCTGGGCGATGAGATTGCGGGGCGTATTAATGCCCACCACGACCTGCGACCGCAGGGGCGTGGTCGGGATCGACGAGGTCACCGTCGGATCGCAGTGGTACTCCAGCAGCGCGAACATTTCTTGCTGCGTGATCCCCAGCAGGTAGCCCGTGCCCATCAGAGCCATCCGGACGTTGTCACGGTCGCGCAGGGCGCCGTCGTCCAGCATCACGCCCAGATTGAGCGTGGTGGTGCGCTCGCCGATCGCATTGCGGTAGTGCGCCAGGGCGTCCTGGTACGCACACGCCGCCGAGTAGTTGACCGTGGCCGTGCCACCGAGGGACCCCGAGATGGACGAGTACAGAATAAAAAAGTCCATTCCCCTCGGCAATAGGCGGTGCAGGTTCCAGCTGCCGGCCGCCTTGCACGCGGCGGCCTCGGTCCAATCGCGGTAGGTCGTGTTGCTAAAGACCTTGCTCTGGGTGTCGCAAGCCCCATAGTCAGCGTCGTTTCTCGATAAGAAGGACAAGGGGCAGGGACACTTACGCGGAGAACCATCGCGGACTGAATGCAGCCCTTGGTCGGGGGCAAGCAGGTCCTGGATCTTGCGCATGGACTCCCGGGACGTCGCTACCAGTCTTTTCTCCTAGGATGGTCGGAATTCCCCCAGCGTCTCGTGGAACCTGGGCGTATCTACATCGGTCCGGCAACATCAGCACGATACGCCATTTTCTTGTCGCCCAAACCTGGTTGGGTTTCATCAAGCTTGGCAATGATGGTCTTTCTTGAGCCTCTAGGTGTCTGATGCACTTGTCTTTGGTCTAGAACGTCCTCCCTTCGGTGCTAGAAAGTGGGTTCAAATCGACCAGAAACCGACCAAACAAATCTAACTATCGCCCCCAGCAGTGCCTGGATCCTGTGCCTCGATCGCATTGCATGGGATTTGCCTGCACCTCCTCATTCCCGGGTCTAGTGTTTGCCTCGCTTTGCTTGTCGTCCTCATTCCCGGGTCACCTCCTGATACACATTCAAGAATTGCCAGAGCTCGTTCAACGCATCCCCTCAGTTTCGTAAACTCTGATTGGGTCGTTGACTCTATCTATCCCCGAGCGCATAGTTTGGGTCTAGGTCGTCGATGGTCTGAAGGACGGTGGAGAAGCGCTGAACACTGGACCGGCCGGTCTTAGCACGTCCTTTGCAATATTGCAAGTTCCGTGTAATTTTGCTGATAATTTGGTTATTTAAGGGTAAGAATTCTGTACTTTCCAAACAGCGTTTAGGACCTATTCGGTGCATCAATGAAGCGCCCCCCTAGTGACTTAGCAAACAGGACCGTGGTGAGAAAGTTGCCGACGCCCCAGGCCAAGTTCAAACTCGTCTCATTTGGCTTACGTATTTAGCTCACCGGCGGTGAAGCAGGGACTTTTGGACTGGCACTATCTACAGAAAGGCGTATTGCAAGCGAGAGGAGATTAAGCACTACGATATGGAGAGGTGGGCTGTAAAGTCGGACGGTCTGTTGAATGGTGTGGCGCAGGGTGAGGCTTAGACGGGTGGACCCCGGCCATGCAGACTACCTCAGTAGATTAGGTAGTCAACGCAAAGCTAGGCCTGACGGGCCTTGTTCTGTGACTACGCCCTGCATACCGACATCGTAGGCCAATTGCAATGAAGCAGGACGTTCCGATTGGTGGGTGCCCGGCGTTTGTAATCATGCTGGGAATATAGCAGCAAAGATTCCATTTCCATTGTTGCCTTTATATCGGCGAATATCACCCACCAAGGCAAAGTAGCAGCCACGACTGGGGCTTCCAGGAAGACAGACCATTTGATTGGGGCAATAGTCTCGACTAATGGGCTTGCTGTTGCAATGGAGAAAAATGACTGTTGAGCAGGTCAAGTCCATAAAAGATTTGGCACTAAGTCAAGCACCCACGGCCGGGTTAGGCTTAGTGATAAAGCAAGGGAAGTGGTACAATAGAAAGCGCCATGAAGACAGAAAACAGAGAGAATAGGACTTAGAAGTAGAATTGGGGAGTGAGGACTGAAGAGAACAAGGCAAGGAATAGAAAGAACAAGAACAGTCAATAACCAGCAAACACCCCGGTACAGATAGCCAAATCCAGCTCATCCGCCACGATGGCGAACACAAACGGGCGATCGAATATCAACTCCGGGATATAAGAGGGAGGGCCACCGCGTTCAATCAGTACCACTGTAGCTGCGGCGGCCACGGTGCCCTCTTCATTACACTCCACACTCAGACCCTGAATAACATTGCCCACCCGGTTTTCTCCTCCCATGGCTAAGCCCGGGAATGACCCGTCGACCGGATAGCCCAGCGCCTGCAATGTGCTCGTGAGTTCATGTTGCGCCTGAAGATCGAAGCGAGGCAGACAGAACCTGCCTACGCGGTGCTGTGCAAATGGGGGAAATGGCTGAGTGCGGAGGAACTGGAGCATCTTCTGCATCGAAGTATGTTTGTTGGGTAGGTAGGCAATCATGGACCACTCCGATGGCGGTGTACAGCGGTAAGGCAGGCGGACGGCCGTAAACCGCTCACTCTGATGGACGAGCACCTCTTTCCCGTGCTTATACATCATATCCACTGTGGCAGTCGCGCTCGACCCGGTTTTTTGTCGTGGGGTAGAAAGGGGCAGAGCGGACCGTGTCGCGGGGACAGAATGGCTCGGCCCACGGAGCGGCGAAGATCAGGGCGTTGATGAGAGCGACGGGCACGCCGCGCAGATCATCCGCTGTCAGCAATGTCGGAATCCTTCGTTTTGTTGTCCGAGAGATCCACTCGTTGATCTCAGCCACGCTGCCGGCCAGGTTTTCGAAGTATAGCTTGGCATCCACCCTCAGCTTTTTCAAGTAATCTTGGTACTGTGGAGAGACGCGGACATGAGTTTCAGCTACCAGCCCGTTGGCAGAGTGGAACACCCTGTCTGACTCGAGTATTCGGCGCATCTTTGGGTAGGTGCTTTGCAGGTCGCGGAGGCCGCCGGCGCCGAGTTTAGCGCACATCTCACGTTGCTCGGAATAGGCTGCGGCACCGGCAAGCATAGTAAGGGCCGAGAAGGTGGATAGAGCGCTGACAAGGGTGCTCTTAGGTGTCGTGTCGCTGCAGAACTGGGTCAGCAGGTCCCAACCCAGCTCATTAATTGTGCTGATGATAGCACGGTCTTTTGGATTTCGTTTCGACATTTCAGCTGCGGAGAAGTTGAGCCTCGCGGGGTTGTGCGATGGTTGGAATGAATAGGTAGTGAAAATTTGCCGTGTTTTAGAATAGTGTGTAGACTGGTATGGTGAGGGATTCAAGATATATGAGACTGGAATGCAAGAGGAAATAGAGGAGGCAAAAGCTGCTATGAACAATGTTGGAGGCGGGATGAGTCACTTGAGCATGATGGGATGCTTACCACTGCCTTCCCAGCATGTATGCTCATGGGTGTCGCATCATGAACACCTCACTATGCTCCAGATCCATGGTCCTAAAGTATGACGCCGATCTGTCAGAGGGCGGCAGCTTTTTTTGTTCGAAGGTGCGGCAACGAAAAGAACAACATCAAGCCGACACTGACTGTCATTTGTCCCAATGCTTCTGTGTCTAGGTCGAGAGGCAACGCAGAGTTCACCTACACTATCCATTTCAAGGAACGAAGGCTCGAAATGTATCATATGATAGTTGAGGCTTGTTACACCGAATGAGTCAGCCTTATCTAATATCTCGAGAAGCCCCCTTCTTCCACCTGGAAAGACTTCATGCACCTCATCTCCAAACACGATACGTTCAGTATCTGGACTCAAGTGCTTAACATCCAAAGACCCCAAGCACTCCGCATATTGTACTTAGAGAAGACCCACTTATCCGCAGAACTTGGAAGCGACCCAAGTTGCCCCACTATAGCCCGCCGGCATATCACCCGCCACCCCACAGCAAGTGCAGCCCGTGTAACTCTGGGAGAAGGTGCCATAACGTCGTGGGAATTCGACCAGAGTCTTATAAGCGCCTTGTGTGCCCCTTTTCTACCCATACCCCACTAGCGCACCTTGTTACCCGGTCACTGAAAAGAAAATCCAAAGCGCAACATGGCATCCAAACTCACAAACGACATCGTCAAAATCCTTGATGGAATCGAAGCCGATGCACCAGGCAACAGCGAGGTGGATCGTCTCCACCTCCGCGCAGCCGCACGTCGCCTCCTCGCGCGGGTAGAAACGCCGTATGAACGGGCTTGGTTCTTGTGTTTCGACCAACCGATCATCTTCGCCGCGATACAGATGTGCATTAACTTACAGCTATGGAAGGCATGGTCCGATGCTGGGGGTGGAGAAATGTCGCTTGATGAACTCGTCCAGCTGATAACACCGACCGCTGATACTAACCTCCTGCGCGAGTTTTCCTTTCTTGTTGCAACAAACATGTCGGTAGCGACTCAGGAAGAGCTGACGTGAATTGTCAACTAGGTCGGCTATTGCGCCTTCTAGCCGCGTTCGATGTGGTGGAGCAGACTGCCGCAGACATGTACAAACCCACAGCGTTCTCGTATGCGATCGGGGACGAGAGCACGAAGGTCCGCACCTCATTCCAGGCGGGGTAAGCATTCTTGACACCCCACTACCATCATTATCACAACGCACCCTTGCGCATGCTTCTTCATTCTCTTCCGTTCGTGTGCCTTTCGCAGGACATACCAATACCTCCCTGCAGCACTGAACCTACCCACCTACCTAGCCAACATAGGCTACCGCGAGCCCACGAGCGTCGAGCGAACCAACTACGCAGCGACCGATCCAGACGGCCTCACCTTCTTCGCACGATTGCAAGCCAGCCCCGCCTACTTCGAAGCCTTCACGGGCCACATAGAGTCATGGACCGAAAGGAAGACGCCGTGAACAAAGGTCTACGACACCGCACGCTTGCTGCGCCAGTCGCCGCTGGAGAATGGCTCCGCATTCGTGGTCGACGTGGGTGGCAATACCGGCATTGATATCGCGCAGGCGCAGAAGAAGCATCCAGACCTTTCTGCCGGAGCATTCATCCTACAAGATCTCCCGGAGATCATCGAAACAGCCCGGGTAGATGAGAAGATTACGACGATGGCGCATGACTTCTTCTTACCACAGCCGGTGCGAGGTGAGAGACATCCTTACCCGCCTCCCTTCCTGAGATTGAAAGGATAAAATAACTGATCGATCGCTCACCATTCAGAGAGCCATATCTATTTCATGCACGCCGTCTTGCACGACTGGCCGGACGACAAAGCCAAGAAGATCCTCGTCCACATTAAAAATGCAATGAAGAAAGGGTACTCCAAGCTCCTCATCTACGACATTGTGCTTCCTTCCACAAAGGCGAGCACAGTCCAAGCGACAATGGACGTGCAGATGATGTCGTTGCTTTCTGCGGCGGAACGCACGGAGGCAGACTGGAGAAGGCTTTTGACTGACGCGGGCCTCCAGGTTTGCAAGTTCTGGCCGGATCCGCGGCAATATGAAATGATCATTGAGACCGAGGTCGAGGATGTTCCGCGCCGTCGGGAGGAAGCAGATCTCTAGATAAGCGAGACAAGACAACATAAAGATATCTCGTCTGCGAGAGCCGGGTTTTGCCAAGCACACCGGGGTGGGACTCACCGTTCACTAGCAAAGGGGGATGCGTCGCTCCGTGAGCTTTCAGTGCTTTTTCTCTACCAGGTGGTATGATTCAGACTTAGGCATTAGCAATGGGTATTTTGGCGGAGTCAGGGTCAGACTTACGAGTCGTCTTGATCTAATCCCGAGTGAAAGTACGGGAGTAGGTGTGAATTAGGATTCGGCTATACGACCGGTCCCCTTACAGATTCCAGAAGATGGATTGCAATATATAGCCCATACTTTGCTCAGATGCAGGCTCTCCAACGATAGCATCGACCGGGGCAGGTGCTGAAGATTTACTGGTCAGTACCAGTAGCTGTCACCAGGAGTGTTGCATTAGTGCCACGGACAGATTCCTGTCAACCGGAGGAATGGAGGCGAGGTTCAACTCAGGAATGCACGGAACAAAGAAGATGGACAACAGGAATGGTATTTCCCACGGTAATCAACATAACAGCATGAGCTCGACACAAATGAGAAGGAAGAGCGTGAGCTGAGTAATACCTTGTGCCTGAAAGACCGCTACTAAATCAACTTTTGGGAACTTTTAGGTTGATGCTACGGAAGGAGCAACATTCTTCACTAAGCTTTATTCCTAAGGTATCCCCCGCGGACTACCAATGAGTGTGAACCTGCACTTCTCACAACATGCCATCGAGTGACCGTCAACTATTCTGAGCCTAAATTCACTGGAATGTCTGCGATGCTACGCACTCACACCCGTGGGTAAGAAAAGAGATTAACCTGCGAATTCATTATTACGGCACGATACTAGCGAGTGTCTAAATAGACTCAGAAGAATCGAAATGGAGTAAACATACTCGGCTTTGCTATAGCCTGCACATGGCACATCCGGGTTGTCTACCAAGTACGAGTTGACAAACAGAGACTAAATCCCATGACCCGAACGGTGCTCGCCTTTCTGGCCTTGGCCTCCTTCGGTGTGCCTATCCTGCTTCCTCCTCCTGGCAGTGCATAAATCCACCCTCGATCTAACATCTAACAACAGTAACGGCTGGCCTCACGCCAGGAAACGGAAATAGTACCTGCGCTCAATGGTGCCAACACCAAAACCTCGACCAGACCTGCAAGCCTTTGGCAGCCAAGGGGCAAGGCCCCTGCTATACCTGCGGGCCCGCCCGAAAGGCTGCAACTCAAGAGCTCTGCTCCGGCACTTGCACGGACACTAGTACAGATAGCAAGAATTGCGATTCGTGTGGGGCAGTGGTGAGTATCGGGGTTACTGCAGTCCCGGGGTCTTCACCGAACGATACTGACTCCTCCACAGTGCCCGACAGGATCAACCTGCTCCCAGGGCGTTTGCATCTGCACGAACTCGGGATTGGGCCTCTGCAACGAAACATGCCCTTCCTTCGATTCCGATAACAATCACTGTGGAGAATGTGGCAACGTGGTGCGTATCATGTCCTCGGAGCGACAGGCACAGAGACTAATTCGGGAGGCTTTGGCTTCTTGCCGCCGCGAGCTGGTAGTGCCCTACATCGTCCACCTGTCAATCCGGAGCTTGCGTTCCTTGCGCAAGTTTCCAGCCACAAACCACATATGCGGTCAGGGACCTCCCGTGGGGTGTGGCAGTGGGCGATTTCAACGGAGATGGCCATCTCGATCTTGCCGTGGGGAATGCGGGGAACGAGACTGTGAGTATCTTGCTCGGGACTGGGTTGGGGAGCTTCCAGACTCAGGTCGCATACGCTGCTGGTAGCTTGCCTTTTCAGATCGCTGTTGGAGACTTCAACGGTGACGGGATTCTCGATCTGGTCTCGGGCACGGCAGCCAATACAGTCAGCCTCTTGTTGGGAACTGGATCGGGAAGTTTCCAGCCACCTCTGCAGTTCCCCGTGGGGACTGGGCCCGTGGCCATCGCTGTCGCTGACCTCAATCAAGACGGCCATTTGGATGTGGTGACGGGGAATCACGATGGAAACAATCTCAGTGTTTTACTGGGGACAGGCGAAGGGAGCTTCCAGTCTCAGAGTCAATATGCCGTGGTGAGCACACCCGACGGTGTGGCTGTCGGTGACTTCAATCAAGACGGGCACCTCGATCTGGTCGTTGGGAATGAGGGCAGCGACGTGGTTAGCATCCTGCTAGGCAATGGCGACGGAAGCTTCCAGCCGCAGACTACAGTTCCGGTCGGATCTGGCCCATATGGTGTGACGGTTGCCGATTTCAACAAAGATGGCCGGCCGGATTTCGCAGTCACAAATACCATGGATGCCTCAGTGAGCGTCTTGTTTGGTGTGGGAAACGGGACCTTCCAGCCACAGGCTGTGTTCACCGTGGGGTCCTACCCGAGAGCTATTACGACGGGCGATTTCAACAAAGATGGTGAGCTTGATATTGCGGTGACGAACGATGGAGGGGCTTCGGTCGGTATCCTGCTTGGGACGGGGTCCGGGGCCTTTCTCGAGCCTGCGGCCTCGTTTGCAGTGGGCAACAACCCGACTGGTATAGCGGTGGGCGATTTCAATGGAGACGGCTACCTCGATCTCGTCACCACAAACGTAGTGGATGCCAGTGTGAGCGTTCTGCTTGGGCGGGCTTGTAACACTTAAGAAGGATGTCGTTGAGCCACGTTATCGGGACCGGAGACCCGGTACTACCGTCATATGAGCCTTTTCATGGTCGGGAATCCAGTTATGTGTGAGCACGCGGTGTGGAAGAGTAATCCTAATGTGGGACCGCGAAAATGGGAATGCGAATGGGAGCTTGTAATGGACCACAGCAACGCTGAACCTTGAGCGAATGTTGAGATCGTTAGTACTGTAGAAGTCCCTAAGAAGGTAATCTGTAGGCAAAGCATGCATAAGAAAGATTCTACAAGAAAGGATCCATACCATCAATGATAATACACAAACCGGGTCAGCAGCACTGTTGGCGCAACATCTGCTAGGCTTTGACTCATTCACTAACCTCCAAGGTACTGTACCTCTAAAAATGCAGCATACCGACTTTGATCATCTTAGCTGAGCTTCTCGTGTAGTCCAGTTTTGGCCTCTCTGGTTTCCTCGCTTTGCTACCCGAGTGACGAGACAGCACTTCGAGTACCTCCACTTCAATACAAACGGCTCGCAACAAAGATATACTGGAGATTCTATACTGTGTTTAACGGCTATCCAGTGTTAGGCCTATTACAGCTTCCGTAAATCAAGGCCGAGGGCCTGATAAGCATATCCAGGAGCGGCGCTTTCCCAGCCCTCCCACTCCATCGAACTGCCTGGTTCATCTCGCTGTCGAGATGTCAAAAGCATCGCGAAAATCCACTTTTAGGGCTGCAGGACACCCAGACGTGTTGCTTGGTACGCGATGACAGGGGCTCGCATAAATCCAGCCAATCAGACCAGCCCCTCAGTCGAGATGTCAACTGATCATGAAAATCCGCCTTTAAGGCTGAAGCCTCGGACGTGTTAATTGGGACGCGTCGACAGGGGTAGCTCTGGAGCGAGCCAATCACACCCTTACCTCCGGCGAGATGTTGAAAGTATCACGAAAATCCACACTTAGGGCTGCAGGATCATGGACGTGTTGTCTGGTACGCGCTGGACAGGGTGCACGTGGCTCTGGTTATCTGGTGTTATCTGATCGATCAGTCAAGTAGCCCTCACTGTCCACTCCGTTGCTGTCAGCTTCCACGATAACTTGGTGTATTGTGAGGAAGCATTGCCCGATCTCCTGTCGCAGTACGCTCGAGACCCCCTCGTGTCAGCGACGAAAATCACACGAACGAGAGACTCGGTCACTGAAATACCTTTCAGACTCCGCGCAGAGGTCAACCTTCTCGTTGTCAGAGAACTGCTCCAGGCAGGAGACAACCAACTGCGCATGCAGAAAACCAAGAGCGCTCATCGTCGATCAGAATGGCCCGCGACTGTAGAACCCCATCCCCGTCCTCGCCGGAAGAATCGGAAGTTTATGTACCAACGGATGAGTAGTGTGTACTGGGTTTCGTTCTTTACGAATGTCATTTTTCCATTACTGTGACTATCACGTTTACCGCCTGAATCGCTCTTCTACCACTTCCTATTCAAGAAGCATCTGAGGCGTATGCTTAGGTTATCCGATACTTCGGTACTTTCACGGTTAGATGACCGAGAAAAGGATCCATATTAGGTGGGACTCTGCTAGACAGCATTGAAGTAGTGTATGTACGTATCCGGCTCCACTGACGATCATACACGACCTCACCGAGTATGATATGTGCCCTGCCGCTGGAAGCTGAACCGTGGATCGCGCCCCGCAGTTCCCATCGAGGGGGATCGATCGGCAGTGTAGCCCGGCTCGCCGCTCCCACGCGTATCGTCGGCTCAGGGGTTGCGCATTAACCCCTCTAGTCCAGAAACCGAGAGTAGAAGACGCTGCAATGAACCTATCTTCGCACTGGTGTAAGTTGCTTATCGCAGGTTATTAACTAAGATGCCCGCCTCATCCTTCATCGAAGCCAAGACCCTGGTACCCGCTATGTCGGCAGGAAAAGAATCATTTTGCAGCCCCTTGGAGGCCCATCAATCAACCGGTAACGCCATATGCTTGTTTGTATGATACTTGCACAATGTGAAATGCATTTGAACGATGCTGGATGTATGTCTCATCTCAATCCTCGAAATACCAGTGAAATCGACGAGAAAGATATTATGTATTCTCCCGAAGGATGAATACATAATAACCTTCCTAGCATAACCTTCCCCTCATATCTGTCCCTTCCTTTCCACTTTCCCATCCTCTCCTCTTTCTGCTCGGTTCGCCTTTTTTTTTTGTGTGTGTGTGTTTCTCTCCGAATCTCTCCCACGCATGTTTTGCTTACCATTGAGCCGTTCAAGAAGTGTCAAGCAGGAGGCCAAGTCCATACATCGAATGGTGCGTGATAAGTGTGACAGAGCGAAAATACAAACTCAATGTCGAAGCCCCTCCACCATTCCCCTGTTACAACCCGTACACGATGGAACTGGAAGGAGATCCAAGTCATACGTCGCATTCGATTGCTCCCGAGCACAAACTAGCTAGCAAAGTCTCCTCACGGCTCATACCTCCACCTCTGCCAGTTAGCACCACCTCGTCCCATCACAGAAGACCTTCATCCGAAGTCCTCTCCAGGAGTCGAGAATGAACCACCTCATCTCTCCTCCTCAATGACATACGGACCCTGCAACACCTGATTACTGCGAGTAATCACGCGGCGATCCTCGCCCCCATTCTGCCCGGGGACCCATTCCACCTTGAAGATGGCACTGAACTCAAGAGTTAGCATCGCTGACCCTCCCCAAAACAAACTCCCCACACTCCAAAGCCGGAAAAGACGGAAGAGATAACGTACTGAACCCTCCCCTCATAAATTTTGCCATCATCCTTCCCGATCACGCGACCGCGCATGCCGAACCCGAGGGTACCGCCGCGGCCCTCCGGGTCGCTGGGGTCTGGGGAGGCGATGGCCTCGTGGAACTTGAACTCGAGGAAGGTGTAGCGGGAGCGCCAGTTCTGGACGAAGTTCTTGAAGTCGTCGAAGTGGAGCTTTTCGTAGTTCCATCTGCGGGGGTCATTGTATGTTAGTGGAGCGATGGTCTCTGCGATAGCATGTCGGTGCTGGGGAGAGCGGGGAGGGTGAGGCGATGCTCACTCGAAGGTGGTTTCGGGGCTGAAGTTCTCCTCCAGCAGCTTGAGGGCCTCCTCGTCAGAGGGGATCTCGTACATCAGGCTTGTTCCTGAGTTAGTGATCGCTCGAACCAGATGATCACAAGGGGAAGGGGATACCGCTGGATGCGCTGGACGTAGTATAGCAGAGGAATGATCACCTCGTCGGACTTCTTGGTCGGGGGAGTGGTCTTGCTGGGAAGGGGAATCATGGCTGCAATGCTCTTAGAGAAGGCTGATTTCATTCAAGTTGCTGTTGGAACTGGTGCGGTGCTGGATGGGAGAAAGATGTTGATGGCCCAGACTAGAGGGGGTTTACATATTTTCGTTCTCCAGACGCAACAGGGAAATGCTTTCAGCGCGATACGAAGCTGACGGCACTGGTATCACAGATGATCTAGCACAGTATCGACGCAAGGGTCAACCGTTCATCCTCCGATTCGAGGTCCGTGAAAGGTGTTCGTGGTGTTCAGTCGGGATTTAAATTTCTCGTATCGGACTGACACCCAGATCTCCGGGTCCGCCATTGCAGATCGGCGTGCGACGTCAAGATCTCGGGTATTTCCACAAGAGTCTAAGTCTATTGCACCACGTAGTTATTTGCTTGCAAGCGCTGGGCCATACTGACGTGGATTGTGTGCCAGCTAACTCGGCGACCTGGTGTGACTGGGCTAGGCGATGCAACGGATGTTGCCGCTCCGCGACACGGTTCACGTACACTCTGTAACCCAGTTTCACTGGCTCCGCACAAGTCACCCTGGATGACAAGGTTGCTAATGTCCATCAAATATCGGGCCGTCTGACAGGTTGGTCACTTTGACGTCAGGGACCGTCAACCGCCCTGAATTTCATCAAATGGTCTTCTCCCGAGGACTTTGCTAGCATTTTTCACCCAGACCGAGCCCTGTCCCACACAGCAATGTCCAACTAATTGAATGTCTGGAGAAAAGCCTGAAGGCGTGTAATATCATCAAAAGGTACAAGGGAACATGATGACATTGACTGTACAACTTCAGACAGCTGGATTCTCGATTACTTGACAGTCAGCTGACTCGAACGGGAAAGAAGGATACGGGGAGGCAAGAAGGCAGCAATAAGGCCAATCACAATGCATTCATACTCATATATTCACCAATACATAACCTCCCAAGCAGCGGAGTCGATCTGAAAACAACTAACCAAAACCAGTCTCTTATGCAATTCCAGAAGAAGTCCAAGACTATCACACACCAACACAATACTTGAAAAACCTCGTGTTAAAGTCCCCTCTCCTCCAGCGCCCGCCGCAACGTCTTTTGAAACCCAAATACATGCTCTGGCGACAGCATTGTGTAGTGCGCGCCCGCCACATCGTGGAACCGCGGCTCCGACCGCGCGAAATCCTTCCATTTGACCATGTGCTCGTCGTACCACTGGCGCTTGGAGGACGCCACTCCCGCAAGTGGGATACAATAGAAACAATCAATGCCGACAACCGACCCGGACGGCTCATATTCTACTGCCATACTCTGCAGGCCGAACGCGAGACACGCCCACTTCAGAAGACCCTGCCTCGTCAGTGCCAGCTCCGCCAGCCGTTTTGGGTCTGAACTCCCCCACACTATATCCAGCGCTTCCTCCTGCGAGATGGCGTCCCCAAGCTCCGTCGCCAGCTCACTCGCGCGACCCTCGCTCATCAGTTCCAAAAAGTACGCGAGATGCAGCAGACACTGCCGGAAGTCCAGCTGGCGCATGCGCGATCGAATATGTGGAGGAAGATTGAACGAGCCGAGAAATCCCACAGTATCCCCGTGTTGCTCGAGTCGCTTGCTGGTCTCGAAGGCGAGCATGGCACCGTAGGAGTAGCCGGCAATCGCGTAGGGGCCTTCAGGCTGTGTCTGCTTAATCGCTCTGTGGTATGTGGTAACTGCATCGTCGATACTAGCGAATGGCTCCTCCGAGTCGTTGAAACCTCGCGCTCGGAGGGCAAAAACCGGGCGGTCTTGAATGTATTTGGTCAGGTTCAAGAAGACAAGCACTTCGCCGACCCCCGGGTGGACGAGCCAGAGCGGTGTCTTGTGGCCCTCGTTGTGCAGAACAACGACCGGATTATAAACCTGGGGAGCTTGGGATGCGAGATTCTGGAGATCTCGAACAGATTCACCTAGCGCTCGAATGGTCTGGTTTCTAAGAAGTGTGATGATTGGGATTTCCTGAGACAGCTCTAAGAGTTCCTCGAGGGCCTTCTTAAGCTTGATCAGCTCGATTGAGGTGATGCCCAAGTCGAGAAGTGGACTTTGTACTCCGAAGTCTTCGTCTTCGAGCCCGAGGGTGTCGGAGAAAATTGCGAGGAGCGTAGATTCGAGTTCGTCTCTTGGTGGTGCTTTTGTAATGCTTCGGTAGAGCTTTACCATCTTGCTGTTCAGCTCCTGGTAAGGCTGGTACTCCCCTCTCTCGTAGCTACCTTTGATCTGCGCCCGAGAGAGTTTGCCCAGTGCTGTCTTTTGGAGGAGAGGCTTTGAGAGTGGAATGACTTGCGGTCGTGCACCGGTGCACATCATGACGGTCTGGGAGATAGCATCAGTCGTTTGAACCCGGGCAACCATATCGTCTGCTTGAAACGTTGGTAGGTAGACCACACAGATTTCTTCCGTATCACCCCCCTGAGGTAGCGAACAGAAACAACAGTTATAAGAAGGAGCAAGGCCTGGGATGTTCGCATCGTCCAGTGCTCTCTCAATAGTTTGAGGGTTATACTTGAGGCCGTTTATTATCATTGTGTCCTTGTCGCGACCGGCCATGATGAGATAGCCGTTCGGGTCAAGCAAACCACGGTCGCCCGTCTTGAACCATCCATCGCTTGTGAAGGAGTCCGCTGTGGTTCGAACGTTGTTGAAGTAAGATTTGAATACTACAGGGCCGGTGACTTCAAGGCTTCCAACCTCGCCTGGCGGAACGCAGGTGTTGGCGGGCGAGCCATCCGTGATCCGAACCTGGATGCCCGGCATGCATTGGCCGACTGCCGCGAATTCTAGCTTCTCCTGTTCGTCATACTCGGGGCATCGCGTATTGAAAATGGCCCCGGCACATGTCTCAGTCATTCCGAACCCAGGTACGATAACATTCGATGGGGCGCCGTGTTGGACCAATAGTTTCGAGATGCCAGCACATGTTCGAGTCACATTAGCTTCTCCGCCTGAAGCAATGTATGTGAGACAGCTGAGATCCCACTGAGGCGTGTCCTGTAGATTTTCAAGGGTGGCTCGAAGTTTGGCTAAGAAGAAATTGGGCGCAAATGTCCGGCAGACACGGTGTGTGTCGATCAAGTCAAGAAAGGTGGTAGGATTCGACAGGAGATCCGATCCGGGAACATGCACTTGATCCATGCGAGCGAGCATGGCTTGCAAATGGATTTCAACCAATGCTGCAACATGGTCGAGGTTAACCCAGTTCATTAAGCTTCTACCGGGGAGCGAGACGACTGAAAGCTTGCCGACGTTCGCGGCCAGGATTTGACCGTGGCTTAGGCAAACTGCTTTGCAATTCCCGGTGCTGCCGGAGGTGAGGAGCATGACGGCAGTGTCATCTGGCCCAGGGTTGATATTTATGTTCTCCACAAATGACGATGCTGACAAATTGAGAGATTCGACGAATACGGGGCGTATTGCATTCTGGTCACCAAATTCAGGCACCTGGCTCTCTCGAGTCAAGCACAAAGGCTGCTTCAGCATTACGGACAGATGTTTGAGATGAGCCGTGCGGAGGAGGGGGCTGTTGGGAAGCGCCGTGGACATGGCCGGAATACATCCCGCCAACATCACTGCCCAGAACCAGACGATGTTGTCCCAGTGGGATGTAAAATGCAGAAGCACTGGTGACTGGGGCAGGATGTCATTGGCATTCCTGCGGCAGAGTGCTTGACTAGCCTGACGTGCCTCACGCAAGAGGTCGCAATAGGAGTAAGTGCTGCGGCATTTGGTCGGGCCCGAGGAGTAACAAATAATCTGCCCACTTTCCCTCTCCCCAGCCACGGCCTGGAGCAATTGAAGGAGGTTTTCGCACGTCATATTTTCGAACGATAGAGAGACCTTGACAAGAAATCGAATGCAGCGGTGTTCTGGTGCAAAGAGGCAAATCTAAGATGGTATGTGAAAAGCGCTCACTGCCTAGGCATCTGATGGCACGCCCTTATAACCTCTCGCAGCTTCTGCATCTGTATCTCGGGGTTCCAGTCTCTGAAGTCCCGACCGGCATAACAATTCGAAGGTCTGTTGGGTCACCTCGGAGTAAGTCAAAGCTTGCAAATCTTACTCGGCATTGCGGAGCTTGAGGTTCCAGGGAATGGCCGCACCGTAGCCTTAGCCTGTGATACCACATGGAAATGAGCACGGTGGCGTATTGGACTGTGTGGTGCACTCATCAAGACCGTAAGAGATTTCAACACCATTATCAGTGGAGACAAGCTTCTGAGCGACATGTTTTCGGCCGACACGAGTCTAGAATCGCTTTTTCCAAGTAACTCCGCTCTATCCAACCTACTGACAAGCAGCGAGTATCTTCGTTTCGGACATTCCGGGTCTGCCAACGCACGTGTAAGCCTGTCAAGCTTTGCATTGTGAGAAGTGGAAGTCATCATGGAAATTGAACCGAACCGCGATTGCAAAGCTGACATGGGTGGTACCTCCGACGTAAGCGTCCCGTTTGACTTAGCGATTAAAAGGCTGTCGGATGTCAAAGAAAAAGAGGGACGGTGAAAAAGTCTATTCGAACCACTGAAGGAGGTGGGGGAGGGGAAAGTGGTCTAGGTCGATGCTGGCAATGATGATTGTGTGTTATACCGGTGGTGTCAGGAGGCAGTTGTCACTTCTCTTACCGGGGAGGAAAGATAACGGGGAGGAGCCGATGAGAGAGGCTAAAAGAATAAAGTTCGAGAATAAAGAGTAGTGCTGATGACACGTTGAAGGAACATCAAGGTTGTGCAGGGACCTTCGTTGACATTAACACTTGAGGATGATGGGAGCAAAGAGGAAGAACAGAAGAGACGGAGGGAAGGGAAAGGAAACTCGGCAAGCCGTGGCCGCCGCCTAAGAAAGAGATATGCAAGGGCAGTTAACTACTACGTATACTCGCCCTCACGTTGCGATTGCCAAAGCCCAGCACCTGGACAACTGAATCTGTGAACTCCATTCGGAGCCTTGGCCAACCACGACAATAAATGGTGTTAACACAAGAACACGTTCAATTGGGTCAATCTGTTGTCATAATACAAAAAGCAATACTTGTAAAAGCACCGACCAATAACCATTACTAGACCCTTCCCTCACCTCAGGCTTGCTTTACCGCAACGATCAGGGCCTGGTATGGGTCTAACCCATGATACTGAACGTCCACTAGCTTCAGACCCGCAGAATCCAGTAATTTGGCCCAAGCCCCGCGAGTCCGTTCCTGTGCCCCGACGTTCGCCATCATCTGCAAATCCATCGCTGTAGCCATCCAGTCAATTCCACTGTTGGGCAGAACCATCTCATCAAGAAGGAGAGTTGAATCGCTGCGCATCGCCTTTGCGGTATTCCGCAGGATTGATTGACAGCTGCTGTCAGGGAAATCGTGGAGAACTCCGCGGAAATAATAGAACTTGGCACCTATCGCCAATCAGCAAAGTCTACGCTGGAGTCATCGTCTCCGAGTCTTACCTATGACCAGCTGTTCCTCGAAAATATTGTAATCCATTTTCTCAACGCCCGGGATGGTTGGGGCACTCTCCATAACCTGGGGTAAGTCTTGAAGGATAAATCGACCGGGAATGTCGGGGTCGTACTGTAGCACCCGCTGGCATTGATGGCCGGTGCCCCCGCCAACGTCCACAAATAAGACCTCATCTGTTGCTGTTCCCTTACTGCGAAGGAAGGTTGCAAGCTTGGCCCAGTTAGTGGTCTGGTTTCTCTGGAAATGCATGTGGTTGTGGAACATGGCGCATTTCTCCGGGTGGGCTTTCAGGAACGCGAACAGGTCGCCTTTACAGCCGAATGCGTCATGCAGAGGCAGGTTGAGAGAGTCTGTGGGATTTTCATAGCCTGTTCGCTCGAGGAACGGGGGCAGCTTGGCCATCACGGGAAGGATTAGCTCGTAGCTTGAAGAGCGATGCTATGTTAGCGGATCCCTTCCTCACTAGCTCTGGTGCGGGTTCGAGCGAAGGCAGCCTTACTAGGAGTTGATATAGCTCTCGCCCTTGGGAGAGGCCAGAGTCCGGGTCATCTTGTTCGCTGCAAAGAGGTCGGGTCCGAGCTCTGTGATCATACGGACGCTCGCGAGATAACGCATAATACGGCCTAAGATACATTAGCTTCCTCGTCATATGGGAGCACATTTTGATACCAAGCAATATTTCGTCAGCAGAGGTCTCTTTGGCCAGCCGATCGAGATGGATGCCTGAGTCACTCGAGGCGAGCAGATGAAATAGACGCAGCTTAACGCCTATTCTCGCCCCATAGACCTCGAGGGGCTATTGCGTCGTTAGCATCGCCCAACCTGCGCATCAATAGACATACAGCAAAAGTGATGCGCTGAACAGCATCTTCCTCCGGCTCGAGTGAAACAATGAGATCGCGCAGCTCATTCACCAACCTGCCGCGATTGTCTTCATCCAGACATTTGGCGAGATCTCTAACATGATCGAGAGCTTCGTCCATATTTTGTTGATTTGGGTGCTACTGTTTTACAGGGACGGGGTTTGGCCGGTGTTCGATGGTATGGAAGTATTCTGAGAAGAAAAGCGATAGGGCGATTATGGTGAAAAAGACAGGATATGGTCCTGTTTTGACTTAAATTTAAGACAAAATACCATAAAGAAATCTGTGCCCTGCGGGAGTACCAAGGTATATTGCCTGAGAGCTGAATATGAACCGGTGGAATTCAGATGCAACCATGGGGGGTAGGAGAGTCCGAGTTAACCGATCCACCCATGTGAATCTGTTAACAACGCCGTAAAGTCACTCCTAGTTGTGAAAGCTAGAAAAAAAGGTTAACGACGATGAATGCATCTAGGATGAAGACAAAGATATCGATGTCATTCACTTTGCATGAGACTGGGGCCATACTTGTCGAAAGGAATCATCATGTAGGGTCCAATCCCCCCCACCTCTCACTTCAACGAACATCCCACTTCAACAAACTTTTTTTTTAAACAGATAAGGAGCCACTTACGTATTCATCATGGTCTTCGTTCCCTCAACTGTGGTTCTCTTGTACTTTGGTTCCACCAGAAGCCACATAGAAACCTTCTCGGGTTGACCCAGGCCTAGACTCGGACTTCTTCTAGGATGATGACAGAATACTGACCGACAGTGGCTGGGAAAGTATCGTCCATGAGTCTGCTCTTTGCATCAGCATGTGATCCGGATCACATGAATTTCGGGGAATGAGCGAAGCAACACATCGGACCCGGCGCAAGTCAGCCAGCCATTTGGTCCCACAATATGTATAATCCATGACCATGGCAACGTTGGCCTTCCACAACAAGCAGGATACAAACGTACCGCTACGCCTATACCTGAACTAAACGCGTCAACGATTACCAACATAGTAAACAGAGGTCATAGGTCAAAAAGCCCATCAGAACGAAAGCCGATCCTATCCTACTCTTAAAACATCTTGAGAGCAACCGACTTCAACTCTTCATGCCAGGCACTTCCCAGATAAACAGATCTCCTTCCCAATTAGAAAGCAAACTCACCATGATCACGCAAGAGGGGCCAGTGGCTCAGAAGCCAACTACCACCGGGGGAGCGACAGCCGTTGCCGATCCCCCCCTCTGCGCAGTGTGTTCAAGCATGACGAGCTCCCCTCGACTAGGGGACCTTGCAGCCTCCATCAGTACCGCGACCAGGACAATCGAGGACTGTCTCAAGCAGCGGAACCTACCGTACCCTTCCTTCGAGCCCAACGGGGGAATCACCCTACCACGGGAGCTACAGGATGCAAAAGAATCAATCCTAGATTCGGCTTCCGAGCTACGATATCTGCTCACCGATCCCGTGAGCGCATTCTTCGATGGAGCGGTAAGTCATGACGCGTCAGGTCCAACCTCGACAACCATAACTCACAATGTAATATAGCCGGTGGGGTTCATGAGTATGGTAGTGATCCAACGCTTCAACATCGCCACTCTAATCAAGCCGGACATGGAGATGAGTTTTGCATCGATCGCAGAGCAGACGGGCCTGAGGGAGGGGGTGGTCAAACATGTCCTGCGCCACGCGATGACCTTGCGGGTGTTCCGCGAGCCGCGACGGGGATTTGTGGCCCATACCCCTCGGTCGGTGGTGATGAGAGATGGTGATATAGCACGCTGGATGGCTTTCTCCATTGACGAACTGACAGAGGCTATTCTTTGTGTAAGTGTTACCGCGAGGTCTATGAGGGCATTAGCACTAACTCTATTTTCCATTCCAGGCGCCCAATGCTATGCAGAAATGGCCACGGTCGGATGAGCCCAATGAGACGGTAAGCACTACCTGCATATACCCTCTGGCTCATTTATTCCAAGACAAGTCGCTGATAATGGATTTGTATGTGCTAGGGCTTCTCCCTCGCCGAGAACACGGATCGTCCGATTTACGAGGTCCTGGAGGCAGATCCTGTGCGCGGGGCCCGGATGGCCAGTGCCATGAACGTGTGGGCCTCAAGCGAGAGCTATTCTGCCTCGAAAGTAGTAGAGTCCTATGACTGGAGTCGGCTGAGGGCAGGCCCAGTTGTGGATGTTGGCGGCTCACGAGGACAAGTTGCGGTTGCAGTGGCCTCGAAGTTCCCAGCCTTGAAATTTGTGGTGCAGGACCTCGAAAGCACCATAGCAGGAGCTGACTTCGATCTGCCACCAGAAGTCGCCGACCGCGTGAGCTTTATGGCCCACAACTTCTTCCAAGAGCAGTCGGTTGTCGCTTCCGCGTATTTCCTGCGGTGGATCCTGCATAACTGGTCGGACAAGTACTGTATCAAGATTCTCCATGCACTGATTCCTGCGCTGCGACCGGGTGCACGGGTCATTGTCAACGAGATCTGCATGCCTGAGCCAGGAGAGGTTCCTATCTGCAGGGAAAGGTTGGCACGGTAGGTTGCCCCGATTGCCGCCATGGGACTTTGGGCTAACAGGCCGTGACAGGACAATGGGCTTGGGCATGATAGGCCTGTTCAACGCCTATGAGCGGGATATCGAAGACTGGACGCGGGTTTTCAAGCAAACGGACTCGAGATTCCGATTGCTTGGCTGTCGGCACCTGGACGGTGCGGAAATGGCTTTGATCGAATTCGAGTGGACCGGATGATCGCGACAGCCTTCATGCAGTTGAAGATATACTGTTATTCATTAAGGTATATTGATTCTGCAGGGAAACATAGCGAGAGAAGAAGAGGAAGTGTAGGATCCAGTATCGAACTATGGTCGTTGTTCCTATGACTTCCAAAACCTGTAAGGGTTCAACAACTCTACACCTCCCCAGAACCACCATTGTGACCGTTGTTCCGTGTCAATCCCAACATCCCGCGGAGTGAGAGGCATTTCGATGGCCTTTATTGCAAGCGCAGTAGTCAAACCCCTGTTCCCAATTTTCACCCCAGTCGATCCGAATCTATAGACCCAACAAGTAGGGAAGCCACCGTCCTCACACTGCATGTCCCGCAATGTACTTTCATCGAGCAGATTCGACATCCCGAGCAGCTTGCACGCATAGACCCGCATGGCCAGCGAAATGGCGTCGCCAGTGGCACCAATTCGCTCATGCAATCTTTCTCCCAGCAGAGGTACAAGCCGAGCGCGGAGTGGACTCATCCTCAGGAAGGTCGAGAGGCGGGCTAGGAAGTACAAGAAGGCGTCCGGACTGATGTAGTATCTTGTGCCCTGCAGGTAGGCTCTATGTCGCAGAACGTCCAGGATCCAGTTGAAGGTGGCGAGTAATTCGCATTCTCGGCCATTCTGGGCAAACAGGCTGAGTACATTCACACACACGACGGGGTCGACTCGAGGGCGGGTGGGATCGAAATATGTCTTCCGAGGTTTGTTAGGAAGGGAGATGCCGATGAATTCACGATGATCATACCGGGACTATCTCATCATTGTCCAAGAGAAGCAGGATCTCGTCCATCACACCAGAGACGACGTCCTTATGAATTGGAAGAACCGAGAGCGCGATAGAGGTGGTGTCCAGATCGTTGGGGAAAGTGCTCGTGGGCGACTGAGGAATCCCTTTTAACAGTCCCACGGTATTAATAGCTGCAACACCGGGCTCAGGAAGAATTTGACCAACCAATGAAGTAGTTCCATGTTCGATCCCAAGGTTCGAGTTCAATCAAGTCTCTAAGCCCACGTTCGTTAGACATTCCACATGCCACACAAAAGACTGAAAAGAGAAGCTCACCGGTCGCCCGTGAGCTCCAGAATCAACAATTGCGCAAAATTCTCGTGAATCACTGAGTTATCGCTAGTCACAGTGAGCAGGCTCTTTGCATTCGACCTGAGATACCTCAAACCCCGAGAGACAGGGTCTTCCAGCAGGTTCCGGATTCGTTGATTGAAATCCGCGACGTTCTTGAACACCACGCCGTGCATCCCCACGGATTGCGCGACCAACACATTCTCTGCTTTGTCGTCCACGAACACAACCTCGTCAGGCTTCAGTCCCGTCTCCGCGAGAACGACCCAATAGAATCCAAGATCTGGTTTGCGCATCCCGACAACCCCGGAGAGATATACATGGTCGAAGACCGGATAGCTGTCCACGATGCGACTAATGCATTCCTGCTCCGCGCGAGGCGTGTTCGTCATGCCATACACTTTGAGCCCGGGGTTGCGCTTTCTTGTTTTGCTCAGAAGCTCAAGCACTGTGTGGTTTATCTCCAGACTCTGTCGGGCCTGTATCATGGTGGAAGCCATGTCCGCAGCGCTGATGGAGAACCTTTCCACTAGCTTCGCATAACATTCTTCTTCGGAATATCTCCCGCGCTCGTAATCGAACCATATCTCGGAGGACATGATTTGTTTGAGTTGTGCCGGGGAGAACGGGCTTTGGGCTGGCGGGGTCCATGAGCATAGAACTCCAGCGAAGTCTAGGACCAGTGCTTTGATGGGGGACATTGTTGTTGGCGATATCGAGCTAGATCACTTTCGAACCCACCGTGGAAAATGGCTACGAAGATCTCCGATGGCCGGGGGGGATGAGGTAGGCTGCTTTATATTGTTATGCTGGAACTTGATGCGAAGTACAGCGTAAAAAGCATCCGGAATCGACGGCACCCTTCTGAGGGCGAACTCCACAACGACTAATCATAAAATCTCAGTCTTGACTGAACAATGCTTCTAGCTGGTTAGCATCAGGCGACGACTTGTTATGCGATCAAGTAATTATGGATCTCTATGGTGGATGAATGGCGCTAGGAAGAAAGCGACCGCATCCATCATGGATAGATGGGAGATAACCATTATCAAGGATCTATGCAGACCAATCGACATATCTGTATATAAAAAGTCTGGTAGTCTGGACAGTGTTTCATCCGATCCTTTATTACTGAACTTGACTCGAAGAATTCTTAGTTGCACATCGATTAGTGATCTGAGGGGGTAGGCTACTCGTTTCTGATTATTCTATACATCTAGCGGGAGCTACTAGTCATCTGAGATACACTCCGTCGACTAATCATTTCGCGGCCCTTCCTGTGTGGGATCGGAAGGCATTGAAATCCAAGCTATCTCGAGGCATAAGAGCCAATAAGACCGTTCCCCATCAACCACACCTCACGCTGTCTAATATAATGTGGAGCGGGTGGTTTAAGTGCCGGGTGAGATACAATCGGCAATGTGTTGAGAAATGCCAAGCTTTGGGTCCTTGTTTTTTTCCCAATTCGACCATAAATGAGTCTGCTGGGATACATATCTCGAATATGTCTTTTCCTCTCCGATTGCGAAGTGCGATCTGAAGGAGATTCTCTGAAGAATGTCGCCATCCGAATTTACACAAGTATACCCAAGCCGACCACCGCACATCGGCGGCTATCCTCGACAAATAGAAACAACACGCACACCCTGATATTCCCCCCTCCCCGCCCGGAGCACGTCCCCCCTCCTTGCAGCAGCATCCCACTCCTCCCCATCCAAATCCCACTCCATAGGGGTGTCGTCCGGGAACAACTGCCGCAGAATCTCGCCCACGACAACAACAATCATCCGGACTGAAAACACCCGAGCGGACGGGCACTTCATCGTTCCGATTGCGAACGGAATCCAGGCGAATTGCTGTGATCCGACCAAGGACGATCGGATCTGTTGTCCGTCGGGCGTGAGAAACCGCCCGGGGTCAAATTGTTGCGCGGTCGCGCCCCAGGTCGATGGGTCCCGCTGGATCGCTTCGATATCGATGGATTTTTAAAACCCGGCTGATGCGGCGGATGGGCGGGTAGAGGCGGAGGGACTCATATGCGATGGCTAACGACTGAGGGTCTGGGGAACGGTCCGGCGGCCGATTTCGCAATGTCAGGGCGTATTCTGGGCTCCGTGGGCCGGGCTGTAGAGCTGCGAGGAGGGTGTAGAGGATCGATCGCCATGGGGCTTCAAAGGCGGGGAGGAGCAGGTTCAGCGGGTTGAACTCTTCGGGGGGCGGGGAGCCCGAGACGCGGTATAGGATCGTCTCCGCCAGCTCCGTCGATACTGCAGCGTCAATGAATACGTCCTGTAGGGCTTGAATCAAGGTATCCGCCGAACGCCGGACATCCTCGGGAATGTCCTTGGATGCGTCAGCTGTTAGAGCGTGTCGCTTGCCCTCTGTAGTGATGCGATGGATTTCCGAGCCCACGTAGCTCAGTTTGTCGCAAGCGATGTTGTCAATGTTGAAGAGAGCCTTCAGAACGGCGGCAAGAGAGGTATTGAGGCTGACCTGTCGCAGGTCGGCGGTGATACAGACACCATCCGGAGCTGTGCATCGGAAAAGAAGAGGTCTGACGGCATCGGCCACCACCCGAGCGATGCCTCTCCATGCACTATCGTCGACTTTGGCAAGTGCCTTGTATAAGGCCTGGCGGTAGGAGAGCTGTAGCTCCACCGAGTCCGACACGAATGGATTTTTGAGCCGCCATAGACTCTTCAAGGTTGGTGCCCCTACCCTGGCTGCTCGCATCGCGACGGTTGAGTTCTTCAATGCGACAATCGGGTCCCAGTCTTCGATCGGTGCAAGCTTGGTCATGCCGCCAGTGTCCTCGCCGATTCCACGTGGACGCAGTAGAAAATAGCTGACAATCGCACCCACAAAGATAACCAACAGCAGGACCTCTACACTCATCATCGGCGATTACAGGCTGTTCAATCATAGGCTGCAAAAAGCATGAGAGCTCAGCAGAGACAGCGACGCGCCATAGGAAACGAGACCGTCCCACAAGACGACTTGGTGCGAGAGATTCAAGTGCGCGCACGGTATTCCACGCCGCACCGTGAGGAGTAAAAGAGAGGGAGGGAGGGAGAGTGAGTGAGAAAATTCGGCTCGGGGGCCGGGGGCAAGGGGGGGGTTTATACTCCGGCACTTTTGCGCGACTTTCTCATTTAGTAGTGATCATACGGCGACCCAACAACTATCTAACTCCGCTACCACATGGGATGCCAGAGGAGTATCTAGCATCACGATCTTGATCATGGGATAAAGGCGATCTATAATATAGAATACAGAATAGGCTCACCTCATGTGAATCATGTGAATCCTCGTGCGATGTATTGTGTCTTGGCAACATGGCGTTCGAAGCAGTGCAAATCGTATTCCCAGGGAGCTCCGACCGAGAATACACAGCCTGGAGGCCACCGTAGACTCTCTTTCCGAGGGGCCACTGGCAAAATGGCACCGCCTCGATTCAGTAGGTATCCATCGTGGGAGGGGAAGACTCAGCAAAAGCCGTTGACGGGTTATTGAACATTGAGTAGATAGGATAGCGGCTCCCATAAGCCGTGCGGAGGGCTCTGCAAATCTTCCATCATGTGAATACTGATACCATCCCAATTCTGGCGGTAATGATAATATACGCATTTACATCGACCCCGCCGTCTGTGTTACAGCCGCGACCTTCGCTTGCGGTGAATTCATACATGTGGAACAGAAGAAGAGACCGAGCTTACCAGCTCAGGATCGCCAGTCCTCGGGGGTGGCCTGTGCCGGGTTGTTGCTGTCACATGCTTCCGTTCTACCTTGTGGCTTTTGGGGATGCATGGCTGTGTTCAAAATAAGGAACTACAGAGGACAAGGGATCTATCATAAATCTCCTCTAGCCCCGCTTCATTCACGCTCATGGTGGACCTTGTGGATTATCATTTCGAGATACGATGAGCTCATGCAATCAACTTAGGCTAGAGGACGAGACCGGGGACAAGAGATGTCCTTTCCCACCCGACCGCATGGAAGACCGGGCATTCCCGCTATCCGTCAAGTTTGACGAAAGGTGTACTATTGACATCCAATCTCCCATTCCAGGGACACTATATACAGCGACCTCAATTGAAGATCCAGGAAATCAACGCCTAGCAGTCCTCCTCATCCTCCTCAGTAGCGGCGGTAGCAACGGTCGACTGAGTGGTGAGGGTGGTGTGGGTGGCGCTGTCGACGGTGATGGCGGCGGAACCGCTGCTCTCGTAGCCCTCGACGGCGACGATCTGGTAGTTGAAGGTACCGAGCTCGAGGCCGAGGTTCTCCCAGGCGTCGAAGTGGTTCTTGGTGGTGACGGTGCCGCCGACGCGGGCGTCGTCGCGGATGGACCAGTACTGCTTGAAGGTGCTGGTGCCCTCGATGGAGGCGGCGTTGGTGCGGGTCGACTCGTAGATCTTGTAGGTGCTGCCGTCGCTGGTCACGGTGCCCAGCTGGGTCAATCCGCTAGACGGGTTGTAGTCGCCGTAGTGCTCGACGATGTAGTACTCGACCAGGGGGCTAGTGGTCCAGCCGTAAACGGAGAGGTAGCTGTTGCCGTTGTTGGTGGGGGTCCAGGTACCGGTGTAGGTGATGTCGCTGTTTAGAATGTTAGATCGACGGATGAAAGAATGCACGGAGGAGGAAACCTACCGATCACTACCGGTGCTCCAGCCCTTACCGGCGACAAAGTTGCCAGCATCACTCCAATCCACGGAGTATTCACCAGCATTTCCGTTGGTGTAAGTGACGGAGCCTTCATTGTTCGTCCAGAAGGAGTAGAAGTACCCATTGGAGGTGCCCTCGCTGGAGGTGGTCAGGCTGCGCTTGGCCATTTCCATGAGAGCAAGACGGTTCGGGGCCGCCAGGGCGCCCGAGGCAGCCGAAAGAGCGAGGAGAATGTTGGAAAGAGCGACCATTGTGGTGGTGTTGTTGGTGTTGCGGTAAAGAATGTAATGGATGCTGGTGGTGGAATTGGTGAGTGGACAGAGAAGCGCAGCTTGAGGCACTGGAAATGGATCGCCATGCCGGCTCTATAAATACTCCTGGCAGCAGTGCCGTAAATCTGACCAAGGATCGAATAGATGAGACAATACCGTCTGTCGTAAATTAATTCTGGTGGTTTTGAGAGGTCGGGGCGTGCTCCTGAATCATTTCAGTAGCCGTCGTGTTTCGAATTGATATCCGCACCCACTTTTGTCCCCGCCGGCCCGGCGCCAGTGCGTTTGGCCCTCGATCCAATCATTACCTCCCATGCAGTCTTTAGCCTCGCAGAAGCACAAGTAGCGCAAATAATGGTGAAGGGGGTGGAGTTCGGACGTTTGGCTCAGGGTGGAAAGAACCGGATTAGTGACCCTTATCCTGCTCTTGCTGCTGTTGTCTGGCATAGACGTCAATGTGCCTGGAGCACTCAGCGATGCTTAATTTAGCACGTGGCGTTTGTTGCAGACTATCACTGAAGAAGCGGACTGCTGGGGTCTGGGCTACTGGGCAATAGTTCATTGCATAGATTAAACAATGAGATCCAGCTAAATGAAGGAAGCCGAGGCTACCGAGGACAACCACACTCAGGGGTTGAATGACACTTTCGAAGTGGGACACTCCAGATCAAGGCCTGGACTGAACCCTGCGAGACACCCGTTGTTTTCAGGCCCACGCAGCCCTTGATGCTGTCCGCAGGAATGGGTGGTGTAGAGATTCTTCTGCAAGAAGCAGGACATGAAATAAGGCGGGATAATTAGCAGCTTAGTAGCTCAAAGGTTAGTGTTGCCATATTGATAGTTGGACTGGTTTTATGGCTTGTGGGTTTTTGTAATATAGTTTATAAAGGTTACAATCAAAGCACATACGACCACAGGGTGTGGAAAACAGGGCTTCCCGTCCGCTCAGCCGTACTTAAGCCACACGCCGGCAGGTTAGTAGTTGGGTGGGTGACCACCAGCGAATCCCTTCTGTTGTATGTTTTTGCCCACCTCCATGCTTTTTTGTTTCTTTCCAGCACTTCCAATGCGGAAGTTGGAGATCAGTAGGTAGTCAAAACCCTCCAGGCCATAGATATCTCAAGGATTTTCGCCGGCAAAATAGGTCTGGCCCCGGCTGACCGGTCGGTTCATGTAGGGCCCGAGCGGGAAAGGACTTCTCAGTTGAGAGGTATTGCTTGGTACATTTGCCGATCACCCACCTGTCTGACCATCGAATTCTATTGTACAGCCTGAAAGCAATGAAAATGTAGGCCGGCACTCACTGCATTCAGAACAACATGTCTTTTATTGAAATTGCGAGCTGCAAGTGCACGCCCGGTTGTCCGAAGGGTAGCAACTTAAGCTGATCGAAAGCTCCAACGCCACTATCTGCCGGTCTTTAGCTACTAAGGTGATAACCATGGCTGCTCCTGAAACGAATAAAACCAAAAGAAGAGAGAAACACAAAATGCCAGAGAACAGCAAGGGTTGTGGATGGGTAGATAGTTGCAAGATCGCACCCAAAGACGAGAAATTGAAAGTGCCCAATGCCAGATCAACTCCTACCCGCCTCTACTCATTTTCAGCCACGACCATGACGTAGGCCCGGTTGTTGCCTGAGGCCAGGTCCGGGTGAATACCACCATCCACGATGTACCACAGTCCCAAGCGAAGAAAGGTCAGCGTGTGCCTCCGGTAGGGTGTCGGAACTGAGTGCTGGTTTGAGATTGTCCATTCCGCACACCTTCGTGATGGTGTCCACCACCGCGGTGCCGTTGGGGTAGCGACCGTCGTCAAGGCCCATCTTCATCATACAGGAGTGCGGAGGTGTTGGTATATTCCTGAAGCTCGAGTCCAGTCCCAGGGGCGGTGATGGCATCCACCATCGACTGCACAAACAAGGTACCCGCCTCGCGGTCGCCAGCAGTTTGCAAGTAGGGGGAGACTTCAAAGATTGTTTTTTTTTTTTGCGATGTATCAAGTCTGAGCACGCCGACAGAGGTCAGTTCGTGGGTCATATAGGCAGTGATAGTCACGACACCCTCGGCAGTAGGGGTGCACGAGTCCTGGTAGTAGCGGGTAATACCATGGCTGGCAACATTAGAAGTAAAAAAACACCAGTCGATGATTCCCCTGGGTCAAGACTCCTGCGTTCAGGTCCTGGTAGGAATGGATTTGGCCCGTAGCTGTCCCAATCAGGATAGCCTCGGCATCCAGCTCGTTGAAGGTGCAGCTCGTCTTGACGACAATAGAGAAGATTGAGTGATCAATCAAGCCTACCACAACGAGCAGACTGATCCAGTCCTTAGCTGGCGGGACAGCAACGCCCGTCGGGCCGATGCCGGATTTGAAGATGATGGCGTCTCTGAGAGAGGTGGAAGATGCTTGATTCTGACTACGTCAGGCTAACTGCGAAAACTAATTAAGGCCGCTGAGGTGGGTGGTAATCTGGCAGCCTAAGGTAAGGCCACCGGGCCGCCGTCACACCCCCAAAGCTCGCCGCACGCCTCAAACATGAAGCCAAAGTACGTACAAAGAGTTGACACAAAGGGAAGCTTGCTATCTACATCGGTTCTCCCATTTGTCCCCGGCTTTTCCTCTGTTGGAGAGCAGAGGCCCGTCAATAAAGCGGCAGCTACGTTGGCAAACCCGTCACCTCACACAGTGGCTTTAAAGAGACCCTCGTCAACTGATCATCGCCGAGCAAGACTCGTAGTCTGATCACCGCTTGGCGAGCTGCCCATATTCAGGAGAACGCCCAGTTTCCTGACTACCCGGACCATCTTCCGTTCCTTAATTTTCTGTAATATACATCGAAGACTTCGGCATATTTTGTGGGTTTCGATCTCTGCCAAATGAGGCGGCATCCATGGCCGATCTCTGGATTGCTCAAGTGTACGACTATGTGATCCCGATCTGAAATTGTTTTGCGGTCTCTGCTCCGGCCACAAGGCCTCAAATTGGCAGCTTTGCCCCCTCCGCCATGGGCATGACATGAACGATTTGGCCGCTGCTGTAGATATCTCGAGAGGTCCTCATATGCTGTTTCGTATTTCTCCCTTGACCCTCTTCCCTTATACCCCTTGCAAGCTCTGGTCCGACCCTCGCAACTCTACGTTCTGGAGCTGACAGGTTTCTTGATTAGCCTGTACATTTATTGCTCTTATCTACAACATTGCCTACATCAGATTTGAAGCCTTCCCAATTCTCTTAGTTCTATACCACAAATACCAACTTCTACAGGATGGGAGCATGGGGCTGATTATTCCCAGTTTCTCAAACGTTCCGTCGCAACGGTAAACAAAAGTTATAAACATCTCCTACCAAGAACTATTGTTTTCTGGAGAGCGAGTAGCCCAAAAGCTGAGTTGTGGAACTTTACTGTTACCAAACATGTTATGCTCCAGTGACTCGTTCCGTAGAATAAGGATCCACCGAGTACTGTACCTTATATCTCCCCTCTCTGCCCACTTGAAGCCTCAATTCCCTTGCACCTGCACTCTCTTTCTCCTTTGAATCTATACATGGTACATACTCAACCCCTATAACAGTCCCAACATAGTTGGTCCGGCTCATGACTTTCCCTTCGACCCCAATATCCGAATATACCCCAACTGGGGATTCTTCGTCTACTACGCACCTTTCTCAAGCAAATCCCCCGCCTTCTCAGACGAGATCATCGATCAACTGAAGACGTTCATCCACTGCGAAGTCAACGACACCGACGAGGCCGATCGCGGCTTGCCCCAGCAAATCCGCGAGAGTCTGGAATTGGACGTGTACGAATCCTTACAACCGAGGGCCGCACCCCCCTCGATCGACGAGATCCGGCGGCATTGACAAAATCGCATCCTCCGGTCGCGGAGTCGTCCCCCGCTCGTCCCGGGCGTCCTGACGGAGGTCTGTCTGCTCATCGACGACGAGGTGGTGCAGCAGCTGTCACAGGCGCCGAACCCGCCCCACCGCGAGTCACCAGGAAAGCAGCGGGGTGGGACGAAGAAAAGGTGTTCGTCAAGGCCATCGATCTACTCTACAACCCGCGTGACGGGACGCCCGAGTTCCCGTACTACCAGGGATGGTTCAAGGTCGGCGTGCATTATATCCATGACTTTTATCACCAAGTGTGTTGGGACACGGACGACTATCCGTCCAATATGGAGCGCATATGTCCCATTCAGGATGGTCCGGGGCGCAATCGCACCTATCGTGGTGGGCGGTGACGCCAACTGCGCCGGGGAGCCAGAAAGAGGCAGCCAAGCTTGCGACAACGCGCAGGGTGATTAATTGTGTGGAGGTGCGGGCGAGACCAGCTCCTACCGCACTAGCTGTTTGAACTAAGCCTCCCAGTAAGCACACGGAAAGGGAGGAGAGTACAGCCACACGCGAGGGCAAAGTCTGAGGTTGGCTATAACTGTAGGGCTGCTGGAATTGTCGGAATGCATACTGTCAACAGGCATGCTAGCAGATTGCCAATGCCGGTAATACAGGTGATGCAAGTGATGATTACCACCATATGACGCACAGTCACATCGATCTTATGTTCAATCTGTTCGAATTGTTGCATAGAGGCCAGTGTTGCATGCTCCCAGTCATGATAACGCACCCGATCGGCTCCCAAAACTACTGTTATCTCGCGTGTCCATTCTTGACGGCATATAACTTTCACGCAGAAGACGACGGGCTCTGCAGCCTGAGATCTGTTGAGTACAGCTAGTGTCAGAGATTCTTTTTGAGTTGAGGTATCTTCATCGAGCTGGAGAGATCTGCCCTTCTAAAAATCGTGAGAATCACGAAGCCTACGTGGCTGGCTTGGCGGGATACGGGAGCAAGTCCCGTTCGGCCTCCGGCCCTCCACTGCGGACCCGCATAGACCTAGTTCAGCCCTAGGGATCGCGAGACCCCGCATTTTTCAGGTGATGATTTGGATTAATAGGCGAGTACTTTAAGCAGGAGGTAGTTCAAGGAACAAAAATCATGTATGTACAATCAGTCAGAGCTAGTCCTTCCCAGAATACACCTTACACATTACGCTGACAACTCGTAAAGATACCATTAGATAGAGCCCGGATCAATAATATCGGCTCTGATGGTAGTACTGGTTCTGATTCCAGTCCCGTCTATCGCGCGAAGTCAAAACAATGAACCTATGATATATTAGCAAGATAGTTGTAAAGCGACGATTCCTGGGGGGGCGGGATTACAATGCATGAATTATGCCCGGGATGTCACCGAGCAAAGTCAGTACGATATTGATGCAGAGATCGGGGCCACATCCCCGCTTCAACAAGACTGCGAGTGGGGGGATGAAAATCGCCAGGATGACAAGGCAGACGTCTCTGCAGCGGCAAGCAGGGTTAGTCACGTGGCGCCCGTTCGGGCATTTTGTGGCAAAACTCACGAAGCTGTGGCTGGCATGACGGCGATAGCGCACAGGAGAGTCAGATTAAGTATATCATATGTTTTGTGCGAAAGATCTTCAAAGCACATATTGATTACACGGACGAAGCAGCTGTCTTATACAGAATCTCACAAAGTGCGCCTCCGGAAACTGACATCATAGACTCAAACGGCCCGTAATTCCAGAACCGAGCAATCCCGAGACAGGCACCGCGCTCACAACCAAGCTACATCACCCCGGCATTCGCCAGGTTCTGGCCCAACTGATCCTCGCGCCCCCGCTCCTGCATCGGAGCCGAGATCTTCGGCTTGGCCGAGTAAATGTATCCTATATCGAGCCCGAGTGCCACCAGAGCACAGAAACTATGCGGGTCAGCATCTCATGAGAATTGTTCGTGCAATCCAGATTGGCATACAATGCGATGAAGCTGAATGCTTCTGCGGCGTACTTCCGGCTGCAGGCTGTCAACCCATTCCAGAGGATGATACGGCAGTTCACAGCATTGAAATTCTGCGCCAAGAACACAAAGGCAACGAGCCACCTGCAACGCAACGCCACGCGTCAGAATGACTCCAGCTATTTCCACACCTGCGGGGTCATACTACTTACAAGTAAGACATCACTCCGTCAGTTATCAGTATTGGCCAGATGTGCCATCTCTGGCGCTTGATCATACAGCTGAAAAGAAGCGCCGCGGAGGTGATAACGAGGGTAACAACAGACTAGCATTGTGTCAGCACGGTAGTGTTTCGAGTTCTAGAACAGCGACGGCGGCTTACAATAACCAAACTGTAAATGACCGTTACATTTTTCGTCTCCTGCACAGCCCAAGCAGTGATTCCGAGGACGATCACGGAGCTGATGAACTGGATCGCCCGGGGAAAGTAGGACACTAAGCCCAGAGGGTTATTGAAGAAACTGTCCATGATGAAAGTTTGCAAGGGTGACTTGCTTGCAGGTCGCGAACCTGGCCAAGGGGTTTGGGGAGCTTAGGGCTGTTATAAGGTGTAGGGGTGGGGTGGGGACAATTGAGATGAGCTTCCCCGCGATTTCTTTATCTTCAAAGTCCATGACCTCATTACCCGAGGTGAGGTTGGTACAGCGTCGCGAAGGGAATACTAAGATGATAAGTGGCTCAATGAAATCACCACTTGAAAGGAACAGTCAAGCGATGCTGAGTCAGAACGGTTTCATCCGGCTCGGCTGGCGATATTACAACCAGTGCTGGTTCGACCCGGCTGCGGTTTCAGTCAGCCGTGCTACCACGACCCATGGTTTTCGAGAGTCTGGCCATGGATGAAGGTCTTCAAGTGCAGTACCTGCTCGCCCTCTCGCATAGTTTGTAAATTGTCCCTCTCTCTCCTTGTGCATGTGATTGACCATTCGGAAGTTTGTTATTGTCTTACCTTCGCATCAAAATACTCTCAACCATGGGCGGAGCTTGATGCTCTCGCTTGGATAGTCCGGGGATAGAAGCACGACGGGGCAATCATACTAAGGCGTTAAGCCTCACGCTAAGACTACCAATTCTCCACCCCCTTCGCTTTCGTACTGCGGCTTGATGGGCTGAGACTGTCATGGTTCACGCAACAATGCGATGGTGCAGTACGAATTTCAGCGCCCGTGGCTGATTAAGTCCGTCTCCAATATCGTTCAGGCATCTGATCGGCTCAAATGTCGAGCCCTCACATTGCGCTAAAAGCTGATCGTCGTGTCTCACTCTGCTACATGCCCAGCCAAAATGCCGTGGTTACATCCATACCGAGAAGCAAGACGGGAAAGAGCTGGCCATTGAATCCTTCGTATAGGTCAACAACCATGCCGCTCAACTGTCGTTCGTTATTTTCTCTGAAGGCGAAGCAAGCTGGTTGAGTATTTCTTGCACCGTCCATGGATCTCGATCTAGTCTCCTGCCGTGGGGATTCTGTGTAAAGAGAGGAGTATGTTCTGTGTTTTAATCCTAGTAGTACAGTCGATGGGGCAAGCCTCAGTTATCTTGGAGGGCGGGGTGCTCGGCCAGCTCAGCAGCCGTTGATCTCTCCGTTGGATCCCATACAAGCATGTTCCTGGCCAAATCAAGAAACGTCTCTTTCTCTTTGCCTTCAAGCACGGGAAGAGTATCCACAAGATTACGCTCAGGGATCAGGTCCGGATACAGAAATTTGCCTGTCTGGCGATTAGCAAAATCCTCCATTTAATATAAGGCTATGAGCTACCTTCTTCATTGAAAAAGGGGCCATCAAACATATCTTCGGCTGTATCAGATAGCTTCCCATTACAACCTGTTATTCTTATCTTTGGAGACCACTTTTTATTCCGCATTTCCCGGGCTCTCGTAAGCATTTTCGGAGGAGGCGGGCCAAACAAGGCGATCATCTCCGCAAGGTGCGATTTAGCACTATAGTTTCCGTGGGCATCGTAAACCTGGGTGTACAGGTTTCTACCTTGGAGGAGGTTCCAGAGCTGCAAAGTGTTAGCAGTGGACACATTGAATGTACATCAACGCACGAGGATCCCCATGTTCCAAATATCCGCGCCTGTGTTCCAGCCACAGCCCAGAATTACCTCGGGCGCCCGGTAGTGATGTGGTTGAATCGGCCAGATGCACTTGGCATCAGGATTGAGCTTGATCCCTGATCCGAAATCCACAATCTTGGGGATATTTCTAGCTGACCTCAGGGGCCCAAAATCATTGTGGCAGAGATAAACATGTCGACCGGCAGAGTCGACCTTGTATTCCATGGGTACCTGAAGCTGTAATGCCGTAAACTCATCCAAAATCACTGGATCCTCGAAGGACATCATGATGTTGTCGAGTTTGAGATCTGGGAAGCGTCTGATCAGTTCAAAATCAGACGAACAAATGTTCATCAATTCGTACCGGTATGGACCAGACGACAGACACTATGGAGATAATCCAGCCCAAGAAGCAGCATTCGAATGTAGAGCTTTATCAACACGAGAGGTATCTGAGCATCGACAAAACGGTAGCGAAAGTCACGGAGCGATTCCCGCATCGGCTCGTATACCAAGCACAAATGCCTACCCGCTTTGCTCTCAATGACAAAAGACTCGAGCGCCGTGCGCAGAAAGATCCGGCCCTCTCGTGTCGCGTCGCTTTGCGGGATGTGTCCTTCGAGCGCTCGTTCGTGTTCCTCTGCGTCGCAATTGGTGTTGCCGATCTTGAGCGCGACGACTGTCTCTTGCTGCCACCGGTGTCTGCATTACCCCTAGCATCAGCGTGACACTGAATAACATATAAACATTTGATGTACCCTGTCATGTTGCGCGCCAACCATACGGTTGAGGCCATCCCCCAGCCGAGCTTGGTAATGAGTTGGTAGCGGTCGGCAAGTACCTCGCCCGGCTTGGCGGGATAGTAATCTTCGGACCTGTAGCCGGGGAACTTCTCCTCTTCTATAAGTTCATCGCGTGATAAAGGGGTCAGCGAGTGCGGAATCATAAGAGGCTTCCTGCGGAGGAACGAAAGGTTGCGCGTCCATAATTGGGTAATGCGTGTTGTCTTGTGCAGTCTTGTGCAGATGGACAGGGCATTGGCTGGCCATCGAAGGCTAGCCATGGTTGTGGGCGGTTTACCCTTGAGTCGAGGAAGGGTACTCCGTATACCACAAGACAGGTGAGTTTGTGTCTGCACAAAGAGGTTCGAGGTATCAAAGGATTACGAAAGACAGCTCTAGTGATGATCAGTGCTTGTAGCTAGAGAGTGGTACTTGTTGCTCTGCTTTCAACTTTGGAACTTGGATTGAAGACTGTTTGTGTCACTCGACGTGGATTGGATGTAAACATCACGTGATATACTGTCTGTCATTGGCTGTGGTTCAGGTATACGCATTTGGGAGCATCTCTTCCAATATTTTCAAGCTGAATTTGTCCCAGCAAGAATTCATTAAGATAGATGATTTCAATTACCTCCTTCTGTAGGATACGTGTTGTTCTTGCGTATCTGAAGAGACAAAGAACCTACAGAACTAAAGGTTACGAAGATTAGTACGGATCCTTGCGAGCGGAACTTAATTCAGCAAAGAGCTTTGCAATTGAGATACATGGTAGCAAAAGTCGTCATACAGCCGACCAGTAGAAACATCAACCCCCACCAAGAAGCATCTCGATCATCCAATCCACTTCTCCAAAGACTCAAGGTCCAAGAACCCAAGCAAAAGAGACGGTTGGCACGATGACTACGGCTTCTAGACCTTCACCCATTCGGACTCATCGTCATCATAGTCGTAACCATCGTTGAGCATCTTGAGATCTTCGATCATCTCCTGAAAGTTGTCCAGCGAGGCGATGGATCTTCCGAACTCGGCAGCTTCCTCCTTGGGGTAGAATCCCTTCGCCTCATCCCAAAGCAGATGCAAAGTACCCATTCCAATCCGATCAAACGCCTTCGAGACCTGCACGATCATCGCCTCCTTTCTATCCACTCCCGCTTCGACCGCATCGTGATACTCATTGCAAGCCCGAATGATTTCGTTGTTCGCATGTCGGAACTGCGCACGGAATGCTGCAACTTCGACATAGCCCTCTGCGAGACTCTTGCAATCCACAGTGTTTCCGTGGAGAAGGTCTTTGAAAACTCTGATGGCGCGGGCGAGAAGGCAGTCTGGAGTCTCGTCCTTGTTCTCCACAAGCTCACAAATTGCCACGTCGAGGAAGACGAAGGCAGATTTGGAGTCGACTGCAGTCTTACTCTCAACCAAGGCCTTGCGAATCAGGAGAAGTCGCTCGATGGTGACACCGTCGATGGTCGGGTCCGACTCAGTGATTTTCTGGCGAAGGCGTTCCGCGACGGGCACCGGGAGCTCTTTGGGGCGTGAAACGCCGTTGAGAAACCATCCCAGAGATCCAAAGGCGGTGCTTTCCAAGGAGTCCTTGACGCCAGCACGAGCAGCTGGGCCCTCAGTGGCACACGCATCTCCAGGCACACCTTTCTGTGAGGTAGACTTGTCCATGGTGTTTGTTTCTGCACGTATTCAGCAGAGACGTGCTGAAATATCAAACCGGGATGGTACTAACCTTTGTTTGAGCAAAGTCCTGGTGAAATTAAACAAAGATATAAACTGGTTGATAGATAGGATTTCTGCTCAAAGATGATTACTTTGTTAGTTTCTAGCTCATCAACCTAATCAATATACAGCACTTCACCAGCCTTGCCTTACGTGGAAGCCTCCTATCGATAACTCGATATGTGGTAGTAGTGTTTGATTGCAAGGCGAGGATGGATGTGTGAAGCAGCCACAAGGATCCTATCAAGACAGTGGCAGGGTGGTTGATCAATGATAAATAGAGAAAGGGTTCAGGAAGAGAAAAGTTAGTCGGGTGATGATGGAAGAGGTAGTGAGGTGTTGATGGCGGGGAATCTTTATACGGAAGGGTGCGACGTGTGGATCAACATCTTCAGCCCTCGTCTACATTTCTGCCTGTTTGATATGTTTAGTGAAGCTCTTTGCAGTATGGCTTCCTTTAACTTCGCTTCTATTCCGTTACTTTTTTGAGATAATTTAAACAGACGCGTGACGCGTGCTTTCACGACGTCAGCCCCAGTCTAGAATCGCTGGTACGTGAGTTTAGCTGGTGAATATCTTCACTATATCTATTCTTTTCGCTTCACTTCTGTTCAGTGAGTCTGTGTGGAGATTATGGATATAAAACTGGGCTTCGGCTTTTCGTTTGCTTATAAAAGTTTCTTAACATCTGTGGCTCGAAGCATCTCATCTTCAATCCTCCTTCCATCCAAGCCCTGGCAAGCACGCATATCATCACCATGTTAGTATATCACAAATGTCTTCGAGACATATGGCACGGTGCTAACAGTTGAAGCTTCCACAAGTCGTTATCATTACAAAATGGAGGGGAAGATATCCAATCTCATCGAGTGCTTCGAGGATCTCTACGATGAGATATCGTTCAAGATCAGCGCGATAACTGTAGAATGCACTCAGCGCCTGAAAGACCATGTGGTGTCTCATGATAAAGACTTGGAGATTGCCATTCGGCAGTGCCAATCTGAGATCAGATTTGGCCTCATTGAAGCGCGCATTCGTCTGGAGAGCCTGGGCGAGCCATGGGCTAGCAATGACTTGGTTGTTTATTGGCAGAATATTGCCAATGGACTGGACCATCTTCAGACCACCGATGATGTCGATGCCCTTCATGCCATCCACGACAATCTACTCGAGATGTTCCCTCGCTCTGAACCCGCCAGTGCTTGCCAAATTGGAGTTGGAGGCGTTAATTCTGTCGTATGGACTATCCTGCACACCTTCCTTTCAGAGCCACAGCTAATCGAACATGATATTATCGTCTAGCAGGTGAAATCAGACAGCCCATCATTGGAAGGGAATTGGTTCCTACAGGTTGATAGATACTGAGGATGTCGAAGAAGCTTCGTTGTTGCAGGGTTGAATATCTGTCATACTTTGGCTGTTGTATTGGAATCTTCATCATCATGATGTAAGGAAGCATACCAGTGAGGTTCTTGGATCTTTCAGATTGGATGAACTTGTATACTCGCTTTCTTGTTGCTGGAATTGGAAATACTTACATGCATCGATGTGCTGTATGTTCGTGCAATTGATTTACTGTGACTCGTTCGTACAGATAGCTTGGTCAGAGCAATGCCCAAAAATCACGCAAATTTGCTAGTAGAACTGCCTGGCTCGGGCTTCTCTGAGATCCATGCAGGATAAACATCTGGCGGTCGTTTGTGTGGTGCCCTCTTCTATGGATGGTTTGTGGCTACTCCGGATGACTTTGGGGAAGAGGTACATTCTGGCTTCTGCTAGGTGTCAGCAGATACGAACTCTCTCAGCGCTTTGTCGGCAACTTACACAGGTGTATCGAGGCAAGTCTTAGGCTAGGTAAGCTCTGACAACTTTTGCAGGTTAAAGATCACTTCAGCTCAGGCTGCCTACAGAAGCTAACTGACCCGTTACGGAGGTGCGCAGAGAGGGACATGGTCAGGCCGAACGTGATGTACACAGTCTTGGTGACCACTGCACTGCACTAAGGTAAGTCAGATAGATGCGCGCGGCCTGGGTGGTCAGTGTAGAAAATCAAATAATTGAGCCAATGGGAGCGCAGGGGAAATCATGAGTAATCTGGGAGCTGTCCTGCACGTGACTGGACCATTCTTGGGCCAATTCCGGGGATTTATCCTGTCTGTCTCTCAGAATTCCCACAACCCAGTCCACTTTGATAATTTGGATAAGACGACCTTGAAATGCGAGAATGCGAGGAGCTACCACTTGCTGATACCAAATTCGCACTACAGATATTGCGCTTACATCGTGCTACTACGAAACGGAATGCCGAGTTCTTTACCGATGGGGCACTCGGTGAGCTCGAGTGGCCGGTGCCAGCATTACGCCAATGTGGCCGTCCCATGGGGTACCCCGCGTTTCGGAGCGATGATCCACCGACTTGGTGTACCAAAATGGCCAGCCCGCTGCTTATCCAGACTCCGATAGGCAAGCCGACCAACAACTTCCGTTTCCAGTGGATCCCACCCTCCCCTGGTCTCGGGATAATGATGGGCGAGCTTCTGAAGATGATGCTGCCAAGCCGCTGGCTAGGTATTAGACGGACGCCATCCCGGCTGAGGCGTGATAGCTTAAATTATCCTACGGCTCATCTTCCTATCCTATACCTAAGCGAAAGGTCTGCCCGTCACCTCACTCACGATGCGGCTTTGGAAACATGATTTTCGGGGCAAAAGCCTGATCTTTGCTATCACTGCAGCCTCATGCCAGGCCTTTCTTCTTTTAGGATATGACCAGGGTGAGTGCCGTTGCTGGAACGCCGAGGACCATGTGCTGATATGCATCTAGGCGTCATGTCTGGGATTGTCGGAGCCGATAACCGTTTTGCCAAGGACTTTAACAACCCCGATGCTTCGATGCAAGGCGACATCACCGGATTATATGATATTGGCTGCGTGGTCGGGTCTATTGTTTGCTACTTCGTGGGCGAGAAATATGGGCGACGGACAATGCTCTTGACGGGCGCGACGATCATGATCATTGGATCTGCTCTGCTTGCTTCATCCTACTCGATAGCACAGCTGCTTGTTGGTCGGATTGTCACTGGAATCGGAAATGGCATGAACTCATCGACAGCACCCGTGTTCCAAAGTGAATGCTCACCTGCGTCCTATCGTGGTGCTCTCCTGACTCTTCAGGGCACTGTTACCATCCTTGGTGTGGTCATTGCATACTGGTACGTCACCCTTCTCCGTGACATTAGACGTTCGCTCACATGCTGCTCTTATCCAGGCTCGATTATGGCACCAGCTTCTACACTTCCTCCTTTGAATGGCGGTTTCCACTCGCCTTCCAAGCCGTGTTCGCCGTTTGTCTCGTTCTACAGATAATCGGTCTCCCCGAAACCCCGCGTTGGCTGGTTCAACACGACCGACACGAAGAGGCCCGCGCCGTCATCGCCGCCCTCCAAGACACTCATCTCAACGATCCGACTGTAACCAAAACCATCCTCGACATTCAGGTCGTCCTCGATGAAGAGCAACGGGAAGGGCCTTTCCACTTTGCGGAGCTCTTCTCATGGGGCGAGGTACAGAACCTCCGCCGTCTTCTGATCACCATCTCAATCGAATTGGGCCAGCAATTCACGGGCTCCAATATGATAAACTACTACGGACCGGTTTTGTTCCAAGAAACGATGGGGATGAGCCGCAACCTGTCGATGGTCCTCGGCGGCGGCATGCAGTGCACCTACCTCGTCGGTTCTGCAATTCCGGTGTTTCTGATGGACAGGTTTGGCCGTCGCTCATTGTTGATGATCTGCTCCGCAGGGCTGTGTCTGTGCTTCGTGATGGTCACAATTCTGCTGTCGCTTAACCGCACCGACTGTGCCTACGGCGCGACCGCATTCATCTTCATCTTCCAGATCTTCTACGGGATTGGCTGGCTGCCTGTACCGTGGTTCTATCCGTCTGAGATCAACACGACGCGAGTGCGGACGCGGATGTCGGCCATCGCGTCTGGGTGGAACTGGATGGCTGTTTTTGCCGTGGTGAAGATCACTCCGATCGCTTTTGGTACGTTCGGTCTTTTCCTTCCGCTGAGAGTGAACGATCACAGAATCCTAGCTAACCACCTGCCGCAGAGAATATTGGGTGGAAAACATTCATCATCTTCGCCGTGCTCAATGCAGTGTTCATCCCGATGGTCTACTTCTTCTACCCGGAGACTAAAGGAATCGAGTTGGAGGATATCCCTCTGCTCTTTGCCAAGGGGGGTATTACAGGAGGGGTGTTCAGCTCCAAGGGTGGCCGGACGGTCATGCCCGGCCAGCATGCACAGCAGTCTCACCTGGAGCAGAAAGTGGAAACAGACCTGCAGCAGGTCGAGAACGTAGACCACACCCCCATTGGGGCGTGAGCATGATCATTGAACTTTAGACACGAACTAGAACTAGAGCTAAAGCAGAGACAACATGCTTGAATGATGACATAACTGATTGATTGCATACAATTTGTTGAACCGCGCAAGTACAGTACAGTGCAAAAAAGATCATGTCAACATTGCAAGTACCCGGCCTCAAACCATGCCTGACCTTCTCCCCCAGCCGGGCCATCATCTGCAACACCGAGATTAAGAAGGCGATGAATCACATCTCATCGATCCTGGGCTCTTCTCGCTCCGGGAATGCCCCATCCGACTTCGCACTGGCTTTCTGCCCGACTTTCTTGGGCTCGAACTTGATATCACCTCGATCGGCTTTGACCTACCACATCACCTCGTCAGTATGTGTCCTCTCGCGGCGCTTCCCTTCCTTTCTGGACGGATGGACGAGGCAAACGTACCGAGGTCTCACTCATCGTAGCCTGTAGCTCATCCCACATGCTCTCCTTGGTCTCCTTCTTCTGGATCAGCTTCGGAGGCTCGATGTCGTCCGGATAGGACGGGGGGATGAATACTAGTGAATCTTAGCGTTAGTATGCATTATCGACATCTTCGAGGTGTATAGGGAAGTAGACGATGATACAACGTCAGAACGGCTGGAAAGCGGAGCAGAAGAACGTACACTCTTCGCCTTTGTTGCTGTGCAATTCTTTGTGGTATGGACGGGTGAGATAGGGTCGCAGGAGGAGAGGGCGGAGGAACAGGGTGGAGGAGCGGGTCGGTTTGAGGATTGAGGTCATTGTGTCTTGGTTTGTTGTTTATTGTTCGTCGTGAGTGATGTTTTCGATGGATGGAGGTTGTTTGGGAGTAACGGGAGAGATGTTTGCGGATGAGATTCGGGGCCGGTGGGGTTAATATGGGATTCGATGGGGTGGGTGGGAGGACAACAAGGTTCGGTTGGTGATGTCAGGGGAGGCTCATTTGGGGTTGGTGGGTTTGGGCGCTTGTGGTTGAGTTACGGGGGTGGCGACGGACTCGTGTTACCTCGCGTTAGAAGTGTTCGGGTGACTTTGGTGGTGGTGTCGTGCTCGCAGGTGTATCTTTCATTGTGGTTGAAATAGGATGGTGTTTGTTGTTGAAGAAGATAAGCTTTGGGAGTGCTGTAGATCCTGGATTGATTAGATCGGCTGTGGGGTAAGGAATGGATTACTGACATGAGCACCGGAAATAGGCTATTGCTCTTCTGAGCTGTATTATTGGAGCGATGAAAGCTCCTCTCAGTGTTTTCACATCTGCTAGCAGCGCTTGAGTTGCAGGTATACCTGCTTATGTTTCACTGCAGCACACGCGATCTCTCATGGCGCGCATCGGAACTGATCACTGATAGCTTATTGTCTACTATACCCCGGACTTTCATGGGACTTTCTGTCGTTGGCAAGATCCGAACAGCTCGAGGAGGAAGCTTTGTTACCAGAAAGCGTTCCCAGTCATTTACCTGGAATGAAAGTATCTGCATCATTTATACACACCCTCAATGACAATTGATTTGGGCAGAGCTCAGTCTATTGTACAGTACATTCGTTGTACACGGAAGAGTCTCAACGTTTCCTTCACATCGATGAAGTCGATATCTCGGTCTGGGCGTCGTCGTCTTGATGGAGGATGCAATAGGTGGTCTCTTGCAAGGGCCGCTATCAAGATTACTGGAACTGAAAGCTGGTTACCGTCGAATTGTCACTATTTGCGAGTTGGGGCGATAGGCAAAGAACAGGCCGAAAAGTTGTGGATAAGCCCTTGTTGATCTTTACTTGCTTCCTCGACCACGTGATGTTAAGAATCGCCATTGAGATCTGGTGAGGAAGGCAGGTGAGCACGAGGAATGCAAGTCGACAAGAACAACTCGAGGGACCTCCTCTAATCCGTCGCATCAAACAGCTATAGGTATGTCAACATATTCTATGAAATATTTTATGGCGCCAGTCTCACCACTGTCACAAAAAAGCCGTCGAACGTCCCTCTGAGCTTGCGTTGTCGCCCTGCAAGGACCTCGCGTCCTCGCATTGATGACGTCGGCATCGACCCCCTCGCAGCGAAGTTCAAGCCAAGCAACCGCACGATAACGCTCAAGTTGAAGGCTCGCAGTGTGACTCGGTGAAGGGATCTGGACATGAAGTGTGGAGTATAAATAGCATCACGTGTAGGAGGGTGTCTCAGTCCTCGTTCATGCGCCGTCGATCTTCCGCGGGGAGAACCTATCGCCAATTTTCGATTCCCAGCGCTCCAATCACTCCCCACTTGGCGAACAAACTTACGATTTCCAAGACAACCCATCCGACCGTATAACCAGCGCGACATGTTTCAATCGCATACGAGTCCCTCGTATCCCGCCCGGTCAAAGTACACACCGATGCATCTGCGTCTGCGTCTGATCGCCCCCCCTCGCGCTGCCTCCGGGATGCCGTGCAACCCTGGCTGCAAGTATATAAGAACAGGATCTTGCCACACTTGAGCGTGAGTTTCTGTTCCAGAGCAAGACTCCAACCTGTTCAGCTCGATTCACTCCATCAACATGACCATGTTTTACCTCTTTGCTCTCTTTTTGTTTCTAGCTCTAGGCAGTGCGTCCCCCCGTTCTCGACCATTATCCTCCTGGATCTCACTGTGAGTACTAATCAAGATGAACAGAAACCCAGACAACTACATTTGCTACAAGCACCACCCCGCCGCCACCATCCACAACAACCACACCTCCAACCCCCTGCGGGACCCTCCCCTCCTGCCCAGAATCCCAAACCTGCACGACCGCCATCTTCTTCACCCCAACCGCCTCCTATACAACCACCGTGACCTGCGTGCCGAAACCGACATGCCTAGGCGTATACGGTGAGCTCAACCCCAAACCCAATCCCTGTCTCTTTGCTTCAGTCTCTCCAGCTCAGTGGCTGATTCGGACATTCGGGAACAAAAGAGGTATGCTCCTTCGGAAGCGGACTAAGCTGCTGTTCCGGGTACTGTGCTGCCAGCCACTGTCGGAATACCGATCCCAACTGGCCATACTGCCAGGAAGATATGGGGGTGTGTCGCGGGGATGCAGATTGTTGCTATGGCAATAAGTGCGTGGCTGGGATTTGTTTGCGGGGTGTGTGATGGGCATCGTCTTGAAGGGTGTTGTCGAATAGTAAGGTAATGACTGGGATGGGAAAATAGGATGGAATGGGATGTGATGGGACCCGGGTCGGGTTGATGCTTGATGAGATGATGAAAAATCGGGTGTTTGGTCCCTATGACTTTTATGATGATGACAGCGCCGCAGCTCGTTTGCAAGTTTCTTTCAGAGAGAGGTACAAATTACTATCCCGATCTAAAGGAGAAGATACTGCCTCAGGTTTCTAGCAGTGGGCCAAAATAGTGGCCTTTGAATAGCAGGGCAAAGCTCTTTTGCTCCTCCAGTATTTCCACCCACCTGAAAGGATAGTGGCGAGTACCTCCGCAGACGTCTCTAGTACCTGACGAGCTGACCGAGTGTCAATCAGGGGTATGTCCAAACTACGTGCATATCGTCAGGGGTACCGCGGAGAAACGGAAGAGGAATATCATGACCCATGTATAGACAGGCGTGATGCAGTGTCTGAGAAGACAGTTATTCGCCAAGAAACACCAAACCACTTGAAGAAATCAGTAGCACCGTCCTACAAGACAAGTCCCAGCACCCTGTCCAAAGACACGTTCAACGCAATTGCTATTTTAGAATGTCTCAATTGCCTACCTGCAGATCTTGTCGACCTGACTTGGGCTCTACGAGCCGTGTCTCGGATGATCTCCCCCGTCACTATGTAAACTAACTCAATAGCCTCGACTAAGCATAATCGAAGATCAGTCTAGTTCCTCCGTCCCCACGAGCTACCAGACCCAAGAACCGAGGTACAAATATACACTCACTCATAGTAAATGGCAGTCGTCCGCCCTACTCCAACGTTAAACTAGTGACAACCAGCATCCCCGCCCCGCGCGCCAACACCGCCGATCATCCCGCCAAGTGGGGAAAAGACCCCCTCCCGCCGGACAATCACAGCCCAAGAAGAATAATTCCAGAAAAGTCGCTGTTTGGAGATCCACCCACGCCGTCGCTCACAAACGGAGGGGGAATTGAGTTGGGGCGACCGTGATCGATCTTGTTTCGATACAGCATATCGTGGTTCGCCTTCCGTGGGTTCCACGGTACGAGGTCGATTGACACATTGCGATGGAGACATAAGTTGAGTACATGCAGTGTAGCCAACGGCGCTCTGAAACAATGTCTCATCGGGACCCGCTGCGCCCCTAATTCCGTGGTCTGATATTTGAGACCGATGATGTCAAGCTTCTGGGGTGATGGAATCATGATGTTGGGGCTCTTCAGGGGAGCGTCGGACATATAAAGTGAGCTGTCGCTGCTGGGGATCTGGGATGGAAGAAATAACAACAATCATAGCATTCCAGCAAGGGATAATCTCTTCTCAACTCAGTCCAACCAGAACAAATCAGATTATCACTCCAGCCACAATGAAATTCTCTATTGCTACCGTTGCTGCTCTCGCGGGCGCCATCACCGCCACTGCCGCCTCCCTGCCTGAGCGCTTCACTCTCGTCGCCGACGACAACAGCGCCGTCCTCACTGATGGCCGTACGTGTTCCTCAACTACCTACCTACCACGCCTGGTTGCTACAGAATGCTGACGCATAGCAGAGTACCTCTACATTGGCAACGCCACCTCCGACGACCAAGTCCCCGTCGTCCGTAAGTTCTTGCTCTATCCTCCCTCTCTGAACAACAGGATTGACCACCTATGCAGTGACCTCCAACTCCGCCGGCGCCCTCACCTACCTCGCCGACGGCGCCGTCCCCACCGCCTTCCAGAACCTGTACATCGTCGAGAACTCCGTCGCCGCCGTGCAGTTCACCGTCCCCCACTCCGGCAACATGCCCGAGGGCGCCAACATGACCGGCTTCGCGGTCAACGAGGATGGCCAGCTGACCCACGGTGACAAGGCCTGGTTTGCCGTCGATGGGTACGGCGATGTCGAGGAGAAAACCGTCTACTGGTACGGAGCTCACAGCTCTGAGTACATGGCTGCCTACCTGAAGGTCAAGGCCGCCTGATTTAGTGATGCGAAGTAAGAGAGAGAGGGGAAACCCTGGGGAGATGTATATATATACGAAACACTTTGAGCAGTGTGTATAAAGTATCGGCGACTGTGACTAATTTATCATTGGATCTTCTTTCCACTTCTGAGCTGATACGATAAAGTATCTGTTCCTGGATTTTTATATTGAAGCTTGTGTCACTCATGAGTTGATGGACGGTCTTTTGTATTCAAGCCTCGCTTCTAGATTGTACAACAGAGCGCTTAACCTGAAACCATAGGAAGGAGGTCGGACAATGTTCGAGCGGTGTGTAACCATCCCCAACGATAGAAACTCGCGTCGCACTTCCTGGCTACCACTATGGAGGGGGTGGAATGCCCAGTGTATCGGTTTTCGTCCCGGTCGAAATTGGGCGGAAGGCCGCGGACGATGTCTGGGTACGTCATCGCACCTAACAAAAGCCGCGCGGACCATCTCGCGGTCATGGAATTAACTTTGTTCCAACGCCTTGCCTCGGTCCATAATGGCGACCGCCTGCCCCTTCGAAAGCTGTCTGACAGAATCGGGGCGGTCACCAGGGAGGATGGTGATCATTGCCGGAGACTCAAGCAAGATTTCATGGAATCCACGAGAGTGACATGGGTTTAAGAAAAATGCGAGTCCAAAATCGTTGGTACCGAATAAGGCTTGCTCAATCGAGATATTCGCCCATAATCTAGCTCACTGAAAGTGAAACGGCCGTAGCGCGTCAAACACAGACCAAACAAGGTAAAGTTCAGCACACATCCCAGGGAGTCATGACCTGAACCCCTAAGTCACCTCTCATTTTGGCAATGAGATTAGAAAGGAAGTGTTCGAGAAGTCCCTCCAAGCCCAAGGTCTGGGGCCCACCTTTCAGAGCGACCATCTTGACAGCCCCGTCGATATGATGCTTCAGCATGGTTGCATCGCGAACATATAACTATTGACGATTAGCCGTTTTATCTTTCCGTACACGAGTCACAAATGGGACGTGCCTCATCATAAGCGAGCATGATTGCCTTTGCGACGGTCGCATCGTCCAAAGCCGGCACCTCGGCCGAAATAGCGCGTCTCAGTGACTGCAGACTTTGGGACTTGTACTGGAGTGTCAATTGCGTGAAGAAACGTTGCTTCTCCTGCTGCTGTTGCGTGTAACAACACGACAAATGTCGACTCGAAGCAAGAAGCACAATGTCGACAAGACTGGATTCGGTGATCGCGACGGGGACCCAGAGACTGAGCATGCGCTGCGAGAAGAGCACCTGCGTCTCGTTGCAGCGCATCAGAGGTATGACCACTTTGACGTCTGTAAATCGCGCACATTCGGGCTCAGCAAACAAAAATATAGAACTCCGCGACTGGACACTTACAGTGATCGAAGAGAAATTGTTCGGTGGGGTCTAAGACCCTTGCAAAACTCATGAACGGGTCTGTCCGGTCTGCTGGAAGGAATGTGTCCAGCGTAGTGATCGGAAGGTCTTGAGTCTCTCGTGAGAGGCTTGCATGGTGTGCTTGTCTCTTTTGTGCCTGGTATTGAAGCGTCCGCAGGCGCCTGGTCTTGGCATGCGCTGAGCGAGCGGCGTGCGACAGGGCGATCCTCCGCTGCGACTCGGTCACCTTTGTCGGGTGGAATGTACTGATGATGAATGGTACTTCTCTGGGCGCCATGTTGGGCAAGGGCAAATTTTATCACTCCAGCACAGGGGCGGATAAGGAGTTGGGTAACTCCTTGAAGTTCAAGCAGGAGCTGGATGTCTTGGGACGGCTGACAAAGCATCTCGGTCTTATCAAGCCATGCCAAGGCCTGCGCCTGCTCAGAGTAGCCTAGCGCCCGACTGGTAGTTGGTTACGGAATTTATCATGGATGTTAAGTCCGGCTTTCTTCGTGGACTCAGACCTTCTGGTATGCTTTTTTCTGGGACCTTGAAGATTTTGACATAGCCTCATCGCATGAGTCAACCGAGTGATGCCTGCAGCTACCGTGATCTCATCACCAAGACAGGCGCCTACTACTTGTAAACTAGTAAGGACTACCAGGTACCATAAGGTAATGTCGTGCGAACTCTGGGGAGTGCACAGAGGGTGGGAAGTTCAAGGTTGGGAGGTATAAAAAGAGCCAGCCATGCCATAGTTACCTTGCTTTTGAGACCTTTACGCTTCGGTCAGTCATCTCGAAAGTGCAGGCATGGAAGGAACAGTAGTCCTCACCGGCGCCAACGGTTCTCTAGCCCTGGGCTTTGCTCAAGCCCTCCTAGAATCTCACCCGCGGAAGACATTGGTTGCAACTGTCCGCAACCCATCTCCGGAAGAAGACCTCAATACCGCAAAACTTCTAGCACTAGTTGCAAGATATCCAAAAGCAAAAGTCCATTTTGAGACCCTCGACCTGGGGAAGCTGACCAACGTGCACTCCTTCGCGGACAAGCTCTCTCGTCTGATTTCCTCGGGTGCACTCCCTCGCATCTCAGCCATCGTCTGCAACGCGGCCTCGCTTTCCCTTGTAGGAGGACAGAAGTTCACCGCCGATGGCTACGAAGCCACCTTCCAGGTGTGCCACCTCGCGCACTACTTGTTGATCCTGAAGCTTGTCGGAAGTATGGACGTCACATCCGGCCGCATCGTCATGCTGGGCTCCATCACGCATTACCCAGAGAAATCAAACCCATTGTGTTCTCTTCGACCACGGTTTCCAGCTGATATGGAGGAGTTGCTCAGACCGGGACCAGATCCACCTGCCCTCGTGCACGATAGGGGCTTCCAGCGATATGCCACGGCCAAGCTGGCGAATGTCACGTTGGCGAATGATCTCAATCGACGTTTGAAGAGGGTATGTTGACTGTCACCGGAGGTGCAGGATAGGAATTGACTAACGTTTGACAGGATGATAGGTTATCAAGCATCACAGCGATAGCGATGGATCCGGGTGGTCTACCTAGCGCGAGATCACAGGGTCAGCAGAAAAGGTCCACTCAAAGGATTTTCGCGGTGATCAACTTCCTTATGCCTGTTCTAAAACACGTTACCACGATGTTTCGGACCACTGAAGACGCTGGGCGTGATCTAGTTGCTTTGAGTCTTGACTCGTCTTTCCAGGGAACGAGGGGCTACTATATGGGTCGAAAAGAAGACATCCCTGCGGCTGTTAGTATGGATTCAGACACGGGGACAAAGCTCTGGGATGCTTGCTGGAGGTGGTGTGGTCTTTCCGTCAAGGATACTGTACTTCGAGCCGCTGCTCCACAGGGCTGATGTGTAGAAACGTCGCATGTGAATTGGCTTGAGGGGTATCTAATGGTAAATGCGAAATGTTATGTACATGTTAACCGAAGAGCAAAGTAAGATAGAAGGAGAAAGTATCCGGGCCGGGTGTTATTCAACTCCCGGGTGAGGGTCACATGCTATTGAATGGTCGTCGTTTGCCAATTCATCGAATTTTGCCAATCCATCTAGCTGTTCTAGGTCTTCAGACTTCCTCACTCCGTCCAATTCTTCCAGTCCTTCTTCCTCATCCTCATCATCCTCATCCTCATCCTCATCAGTGTCTTCATCATTATCACCCACTTCTTCATCGGTGGTTGCATCATCATCCAACGGCAAGGACGGCATATCTACTATACCCGCCATCAACATGCGCGTGATATTGTACAAGCCTTCGCGGTCTCCCAACGGCGTATGCAAATGTCTTTTGCTGACCCAATCGCCAATACGCGATTCGTCATGCGCGCCGCCAAAGTCCACAACCCACGCGCCATCGTTAGGATCGATCAATACATTTGACGGGCGCGCATCGCCCCACGTCAACCCCAGCTCGTGCAGAAGATCTAGCGTCTCGGTCAACTGGACTAGAAAATCCCGCCGATAGTCTAGCGGCATCTCCGGCCCAACGAGCGATTCCAACGTCCCCGCGTTCTCCACATACGAGATCAGCAGCCCGAGGTACGAGCCCTTTCTGTCCCCCATCACCACGCCACAAACCCGCGGCACGCGCAAGTCGTCGAGGTTTTCCACCTCGTGCAAGGCCTTATACGTCTCCATCTCGCGCACGGCGTGCTGCCACCGCCAGCGCTGCAGGGGCTTAAAGTAGCACATGGGCATATCGCCAGCCACGGTGCTGCTGCGCGGCCAGACCATCGTGGGGGGCTTTTCAAGCTCTTCCTCGTCATCGTCCGCCGGAGAAGCTAGAATCTCTTCCGGCTTGAATAGCCGCCAGTCCGGATGCAGCTCGTAGCGCGGCAGCCACACGCCCAACTGCTGATCCCGCCGCGGCGGCACGTCGTAGTCCAGGAACGGCTCGGGCACCTCCTCGACCACGTACAGCTTCCACCGGTGCTCCGGCGGGTCCAGGTAGTGCGCCAGCGTCGGAAACGGGCCCGCGTAGGTGGGCTGCTCCAGCCGCTTCATCCAGTCCTCGAATGGGCGCAGCGCCCACCGGTACAGCTGATCCGCCGCGTGGTCACACGTGGCGCGGTCCTCGTCTGCATCGAACATCGTCTGTGTCACTTCCCTGTACGTCTCCAGCGTGATCGGCGATTTGTAGAAGTAGTCCTCGGAGATCCGCACGACGCATCGGCGACCCTTGCAGGCGGTGGTCACGTGTGCCTTCTCGTCTCCGCCATCGTAGCCCACGCTCACCATGCGATGGGTGAGCGTGGCGTCTTCATCCATGATCTGGGATGCGGAGTTGTGTGGGTTCCGATCATGGGTCTGTCTGCAGGCATAGAGGCAGCGGTGAGCGGATTGACAGAATTATGAAGCTGCTTGCACTGCATGGGCAACTGGAGCCTGACGCTGAAGCTGAAACACCAATTACACGGTCGAAAATTGTCGGACCCCTGGATTATGTCATTGCTTTCCTAGTCACGTGAATATTATCTGCCACAGATCACTACACCGCCAGGCGGGATCAACAACTTAGCCTTATCGTGCCTCTCACACTCTCACACTCATATCATAACAAGCCCAGTCGTTGAATATACCGACAGCCAATATCGTCAAACTCTTCGTAATCTCCCATGCAAGCGCACAACAAACAACAAAAGCTTCATAAAATCAATAATCTATGGCCCCCTACACCCCAACCTCCCCGACCAACAACCAGACCCCTTACTCAGCCCTCCCCTCCGTCGCCCGAACAATCCCCTCCGCCATCCCGACCAAATCATCCGCTGTAACATCCAACCCTGCCTCAAAGACGCGATAGCATGGCTCCCCCTCGTAGACCGTACAGTACGCGCCGCGGAACCCGGCCTTGGTCGCCGCCGCGACATCCCACAGATGCGCGGCCGCGAACCACGGCTTCTCCTTTCCGTCAACGTACCCCAACGCCTGCAGCGCGGGCCGATACGCCTTGAGCGCCGGCTTGGCCACGCCGGCCGTGTCGCAGCTCAGGAAGTTCTCGGCGGGCATGTCGACCCCGCCGCGCAGGAAGTACCCGCGCACGCGCTGCGTGTCCCCCGTCGTGAGGCACCACACGGTAAAACCCGCGGCGCGGAGCGTGGCGAAGCACTCGGCGAGGCCGGGGCGGAGGGCCAGCGCGCTGTACCCCTCGACGCAGGCGTCGCGCTGGGCCGCGGTCGCAAACGCCGTCGGGTGGGCGACGCCGATCATGAAGAGCGTCTGGTAGAAGAGCTCCGTCAGCACCTGCTTGTAGGGCTTGTAGCTCTCCGAGATCGACAGGAAGGTGAACTGCAGCTCCGCGTTCGTCATCCACGTGAAGCCCAGGGTTTGGGCCGTGAGGTTGTGCGCGGCCAGTTGCGGGCCGAGGGTTTGCTGGATGGTCTCGTAGAAGGCGCTGAAGGAGACGCAGGTGCCGACTACGTCGAAGACGACGTTTTTGCTGGCCATTTTTTCTTTGCGTGGTGGTGTGTGGTGTGTGGGTGGGTTGGGGAGGAATGGAGGTGAGGCTGTTTGGTGGTGGTGGTGATGGTCGAGGAGGGGGGGATCTTCAAGAGGGGTAGAAATGAGGTTGGAGTTGCTTTTCGGTCTTATCGCGAGCCGATACCGGGCCAACGGCCGTGCGGGGAAAACTAGTCGCGCTTGACAGACGGCCGGGCAATCTATCGCATGCAGCTAGTTTGCTTAGGGAGCGTTAGTCGACATGGCCCCCACGGTCGTATATTGACCCCCGATATGAGATATGGGGTGGATATGCGGAGTGCTCGATAATCTCGATAAGCTCAGGGGTAATCGGTGGCTTATCTTGTTGTCTATGCTTGACACATTCGGTGCTAGATAACACTTCCTTATACTACTGCTACTTCAGTATTGCCCTTTTCGGCAATCAAGAGGAGAAAGTAAATAGTACAGTGGTGAGGCACGGGAGGTCCAGTTATCACAGAGATAATACAAGATTGATTATGACAGTTATGCAAACAAACACGCCAGATAAGTCGCTACATTACAGACATGCTATACTCAATCAAATCACACCAAGCAAGTGGCATCATCCCCACAGAAAGTTCAACCGCCTGAGCCCGCGCTTCGGTTCCGGCTCAGGATCGGGGTTGGCTTGGTAACGCTCGATGAACGGCCGAATGGGCACATCCTCCAACCCGATGATCTTGCTCTTGGCCCAAAACTTGTAGCCGAAGTACAGGGCAAAAATAATGGGGACATTCAAGTACGAAGAAATGAATGTCTCCGTGGACCACTGGCGGTGGATGAAGGTCTGATACCCACCAGTCAGGAACAGGACGCTGAAAAGTCCCAGAGCGAACCAGGTACCCCATGGCTGAAAAGGGGCAGCCCAGGGCAGCTCTTTGTGTCGATCAATGCCCTGTTTCTTGCATGCGTAAAGAAAGCGCAGGTACACAATGCAGATACATCCCCAATTGACCAAGGTGGAAATTGATACGATATCCTGTAGCCAGGTGAAGACGGTACTAGCCGAACTTGACAGCGTCATGTAGCCCAACGCCATGAAGACTCCCAGAATTGTCACAGCCACGTACGGAATGCCGAAACGATTGATGCGTTTGAAGCACTGGGGTGCGTGTCCTTCGGCCGCCATCGCATACATGATGCGCGAACCGCCCAGCATGTTCGAGTTGCCGGCGGACCAGGCGGAGGTGAGTACCACAGCATTGATAATGGATGGAACGACTTTGATTCCGGCGTTCCGAGCTGCGATAACGAACGGGGACTCAGAAGCAGTGCCCGAGGACCCCAGAAGGTTGGGATCGTCGGAAGGAACGACAAGCCCGATCATGAAGATGGTCAAGACGTAGAAGAGTAGGATCCGGACAAAGATGCGACGAGCGGCCATAGGGATGGCATGACGGGGAGAACGTGTTTCCGCAGCTGCGACGGTGATATTTTCAATTCCACTGTAGGAGTACAGAGCACTATTCAGTGCTGTCCAGAACCCCAGGAAACGTCCCAGGGAGCCTCCAATGCCAAGGTATTGCACAAACGGGCCCGGGTCGCGCCAATAGCGAAATCCAATGCTGGTCCGATTGGGACCTCCACCACAGGTGATCACCAGCGCCATGAGATTGATGCCAATGACCAGCATGATCTTGAGGATGGAGAAGCCGAACTCAAGCTCGCCATAGACGCGCACAAACACCAAGGCCGTGAGCAACATGAGAAGACCAAATACGGTGATCCAGACAGCATTGTTGATGGTGGTCCAGAATTCGATGACCACGGCGGCCGCAACAATCTCGGATGGGATGGAGACAAGGTAGGAATAGACTTGGTTCCACCCATTGGCGAAGGAGAGGGCTGGGTCCACGAACAACTCAGCATAGCGAATGACTCCACCCTGGAGCGGAACGAGACTGCCCATCTCGCCCACCGCCGCCACCACACTGAACACCGCCCCACCGATAATCGTGTATGCCAGAAAAGCTCCCAGCGGTCCTGCGTGGGCAATTGCCCGTCCAGAACTCAAAAACAACCCAGTGCCTATCGTCCCGGCCAGGGCAATCATCTGAATGTGACGCTGGTGCAGCCCCTGATGAAAATCACGGGCTTCATCGAGGTGGCCGGGCGCGGTGGCCTCAAGGTCCCCATCATACTTTTCGTTGGTCTGTTGGTAAGGCGGCTTCTTCTCCGAGGGGGCGGAAACATCCATGGTGACAGAAGATTGCGTGAGAGAAATGGAGGCCATGATTCACAGAAACGAGAGAGCACGAGTGGCACCATTTTGTATTGTGCACACTGATGCCCAATACCCCGCATTGCAAATCGAAGTTCTCTTGTTGGTCCATCAACATGAAGCTAGCTAGCATGGTGAGGATCGACTGTGGGTGACCGCTGTTGTTGTGGTTTGTGTTTGCTAGAGCCTAGGAGCTTATCAGATGATTAGAACCGGCTCCAATTACCTATTCGGGACGGCCCGCCGTCTGTGTGTGGATGTGTGTGTGTGCGTGTGTGCGTGAAGGAGCGACCGACCGTGCCGTCCGACCAGCGACCGATAAGATAATCGACGCGATAAGCCCACTTACCCACCAAACAATACAAACGAAACGATAAACGATACAACGATAAGCCTCGGCTGTTATCGCCGACTCCTTAAAAAGGATGCACGGGGCGCGCGATAACCTTCACCACCACCACTCTACACCCATCGACCTACACCCCCAAGCTTTCTCCTAAACATGACAACTTCCACTTGCTTTCCAGGCCCCAATCCAGGGGAGTGTTTCTGGCAGAATCAACCCCATGAATTACACAACTTCCGGTCCACCGAACAACTACCCGAGCAGTCGGAGGTGGTGATCATTGGCGCCGGGTACGCGGGCACGAGCACCGCGTACCACCTGCTTCGCGACCATGGAGACGCCATCAAGTCAATCACCATTCTGGAAGCGCGAGGGGCCTGCTCCGGCGCGACTGGTCGCAATGGAGGACACCTTCGTCCGGACTTCTACGGCCACATTCCGACGTACATCGATCGCGCGGGCGTCCGCGCGGGCGCAGAGATTGCGGAGTTCGAGATCTCCCACCTCCACGCGATGAAGAAGTTGATCGAGGAGGAGCAGATTGACTGCGATTTCACTCTGACGCGCTCCATCGACGTCTGGTGCAACGAGGAGGCGGCCAAGAAGGCCAAAGCGGTGTATGATCGCATGAAGTCGCTGGATCTGGATTATATGAATGACGTGGTCTTTTACACCGGCAAGGACGTCGAGGGGGTGAGTGCCTCCAACCAAAAGCTCTCCCCGTCCCTCAAGTCAAGCAAACGTACTAATCACCCAGCGCAGATCTGCGGGGTCAAGGGCGCCAAAGCCTGCGCCTCGTTCACCGCGGGAACGATGTGGCCATACAAATTCATCCTCCACCTCCTCAAATCCGCTCTAGCGTCGGGCAAGGTGAACCTGCAGACGTTTACCCCGGCCCAGTCCATCACCCCCGCACCCCACGGCGGCTTCACCGTCCAGACCCCGCGCGGCAGCCTGCACGCCGCCACCGTCATCCACGCCAACAACGCCTACGTCGCGGGCCTGCTGCCCGAATACGCCAAGAACATCGTCCCGTGCAAGGGGATCTGCTGCCGCATCACCGTGCCCGCGGGCACGACCGCCCCGCTGCTCAACAACTCCTACATCAACCGCACCGAGGACAACACCCTCTCCTACCTGATCCCCCGCGCCGACGGGAGCATCGTCGTCGGCGGGGCCTCGTCCAAGTTCCGGCCCTTCAAGGAGCAATGGTACAACAACGTCGACGACAGCGAGCTCATCGACGCCGCCAAGGACTACTACGATGACTACATGCAACGCACGTACCGGGGGTGGGAGAACACCGGGGCGAAAGTCGACCAGATCTGGACGGGCGTCATGGGGTACTCGTATGATTCCAACCCGCATATCGGTGCCGTGCCCGGCAAGGAGGGCCAGTTCATTCTGGCCGGGTTCAATGGCCATGGCATGCCGGTCATCTGGCGCTCGGCGCAGGAGTTGGCCCGGATGGTGGTGCAGAAAGTTTCCTTCGAGGACACGTGCATGCCCCAGCTCTTCAAGACGTCCCAGTTCCGCATCGATCGCGCGATGAACGGGTCGGAGGACGATGGAGATATTCTCGGGACGGGCAACTTTCCTTCCACCAAACCTTGATTGACCGGCAGGTAGCCTGACAACGGCATTTGTACATATATTGACTGTCTTGAAGATAATACAACGAGTGACGGCTGTTTCGTTATTACACTTGCTCGCGACTGTGGCGATTTGGTCGAACATGTAGATCGGCTGTAATTTAGCATTTGTAAATTATTCCATCCAAAACAAATAATCTAGTCAGTGACATTCAGTCAGTTAGGAAACAGCAATCTACCTAGTCGCTAGACATCCCACCACCCTTCCAAGTAAGATCTCAAATCAATATGGTCCGGTTGTTTCAAGTGGGGTGTCAAGTCCGCATCAGGCTGCATCTCTCGTGTTGTCCACCCGTTCCCCAGGTAGGCGAATCTGTTCCCGCTCGAGTTCGTATACGTATACTCCCAGTCCTCCCACCGCGGATCCCGCCGAACAAAGTTTGCCAGACTGGCACTTCCCGGAAAAAGCCCATGGACGAACCCATTTGGCCGTCCCCCGTTCATCCACGACCGACAGCTTGCCTTCCCCGGCGTCGAGTCATCGTTTCCTGTCCACACCGTCCGTGGGAAGAACGCATGGCAATATTCGAGGAAATCATCCGCCGCGGCTTTGGCCGGCACAAACGTGCGGATCCCCTGACCGCGGACCTTGCGAATCATCTTCGCGATGTAGGTGATCTGGTTCTCCACGCAGTTGGGGATCGTCCCGCTGGGGCCGACCACGTGGGCCCCGCCTAACCAGAGCGCATTGGGGAACCCGGGCGTCGCGGTCCCGAGGTACGTGTAGGGGAACCCGTAAATCCCGTCCGATGCCCAGGCTTCGCAGAGATCTACCCCGAAGGCCACGACTGGGAATGGCGGCACGAGATCGGAGTTGGCGCCCGTCGCGCAGATTACGACATCCGCGCGCCTTTCTACCCCGTCCACCGTCTGGATCCCATCCCGCGTCAGGCGGTCGATTCCCGAGCGAATGAGCTCCACATTCGGCTGGATCAACGCTTCTAGATAACCCGGTCCCGGGGTGGGACGACGACAGCAGGGCGGGAAGTCCGGGATCAGGTCGCTGAGGAGGGTCTCGTTGTGCTCGACACGTGCCAGCATCGAGGCCGTCCACATCTGCCGCAGGAAGTCGTTCTCGGGCGAGTCCAGGAAGCAGGTGGCGAACCCGCGGAAGAACTCGGCCTCTTTCTTCTTGCGGTACTGCAGGTAGGTCTGCGGGTCGTGGAACGATTCGAGCTTATCGGCTGCGAAAGACGCCCGTTGCCAGTCCCCGTCGACGTTGGGCGGGTGGACGATCCAGGTGCGGCTGCGGGCGTAGTGGTCGATTTTGGCGGCGATGGGCTGGATCTCGGGCAGGATCTGAATGCCTGATGCACCGTTGCCAATCAGAGCGATTTGTTTACCCTTGAGTGGGACGCTGTGGTCCCAGTTGGAGGAGTGGAGAATGGCCCCTTGGAATTGGTCGATGCCTTTGAAGTTGGGGATGCGCCAGGTGTTGAAGTACCCGATGGCGGTGATGAAGATGTCGAAGGTCTCTTCATATATCTTCTCTCTTGTTAGCACGACTTGGATTGAATCGGGGCATGAGGTACGCGTCGTCACCTTGCCATCTCGAAGATCTTGGATGGTAACTTTCCACTTGGCTTCGTCCGGCTGCCATTCCGCTCGGAGGACTTTGCGCTGCAGACGCAAGTATTTGTATACATTGAACCGACGGGCAAGGTCCTGCCAGTACTCGCGAATTTCTGGTCCTTGCGCGAACTCTTCTTTCCATTGAGTGTTCGGCGCGAATCCGGACTGGTAGACGTGGGCGGGCACATCACACCGCACACCGGGGTAGGTATTCTCGAACCTGTACAAGAGAGGAGTGAGAATGGAAAAGATAGAAAAAGAAATCACAATAGCGGTGGCAACATACCATGCACCGCCCTAGACGCCTATGTTAGTATTAGTTGCTCTCACACAACTCCAACGAAAAGATGGCAGAGGGGCCGCTTACGACGTCAGCATTCTTCTCCAGGATGGTCAGATCAATCCCTGGCACTTTGGCAGGGAGTAAGATCCCTGCTGTGATTCCCGACAGTCCGGCCCCGACAATTCCCACGCGAATCCCACGTGGCTGGTCACCGGGGTGGTCCTCGATGCTGAATCTCGGTCGTGTTGTCGCAGCCTCAACAGGGGTGATTTCTTTGTCCACCACCACGGGATTTGCTTTTTCGGGAATTGAAGGCTTGCAACATCCCTGCTGGCGGATAGGAAGCTCGCGAGCTCTGGATTCTACAATTTCGGTCATCCTTGCGTGAATGATGCAGTTGCTGTTGTTGAAATTGAATATCCCGTGTTCTGCGTAGGAGGACGAGCTCGAGACGGTGAGTTCTTTCTGTATTTCATTTGATTCGTCTTAAACTTCCCCGTGACCAAATAAATTTCCGGGCGTTGGCTAGGAAGGAACAGTGGGGTGGGGGGATAATAGACATGCGAGTGCACACAATAGTCGAGGTGTATTGTTTCTGGATCGGTTCCATTGTTCTCTGGTACGCGCCCGTTACATCACACTCAGATCTTGCTTACCAGATTTGGGCCTGGGTCGACCACGCCTGCGCTTTCTTTATCTCTTTGAAGGTTGTATGTACACGTGGCTATGCTCGTTGCTTTCATACATTATGATTTCATATTTAAGGTTGTATTGAGGTGATTGGGGTATACACGTTGCGCGTCGCGGCGGTTCTGTGTACAGTTACAGGGTACAGCACACTAAACTTAAGGTACAGATTTGCAATACCAACCCTTGACAGACTGTATATGAGTTTGTTTGACTGCAGTGCAGGGATTTCATTCAAGCAGGTAGTTCGAGGATCTGCTCGAATGCCGAAAGCTGAAATTGCCATGTGTCGAGACACCTGGACTTCGAAGGATAAATGTGGGGTAACTCAACGACCGCTGGGGCGCCACTACACCTACCGGAAAGACTATCTTACCGGAGCATCATAGATCCTCCGCACCTGTAAAGTCGGGCTTTGTCTTTTGCGCCAAATGAGATAGAGTTTGAAGCACTAGTCTCTGCTGGGCAGGGTCTTCCAGGAATGAGATTAAATCGTTCTGTCCACAGGTTGTTTCCACTCATCTGGGTCCCTTTGTCACACGATGGACAGACTAGGTAGCCAACTTAAGCAGGTGTATCCCATCCGCCGCGAACAACTGATCTCGGCCCATCGCCCCCGCCGGCTTCGCAACTAAGCTTTAAGCCGAGGATTCTAGACAAATTCCATGAAAATTGACAGTAAAGCTGCTGTAAACCATCAGGTCGCTTCATGCAGGCACCTTCAGATTAGTTAGAATGGAATGTAAAAATATACGGTCGGATCTCAGATGATGCCTCTGAGAGACGCTCTTTCCAGGTTATGGGTTGAACAGCTACCACAGCGTAGCCCACTGAATTGTGGCTTCTGTAGTTGTTTACTCAATCATGACGCTTAGAAGTTGCGCTTAGTAGACTCTTTTATGCACATATCTATTACTTAGGGATTGGAGGTGTAGAATTAGCTAGACTTCAATTGATCCTAATGTGATTGGCAAAGGGACTGGTATATATTCTATTGTTAGTTGAGTTGAGATGTTTGGACATTAGACATCAGGCAGCGTGGTTAACAGAAAACTAGGAAACTTCGAGCTGGGTATCGTGAAAAAAAGAATCAAATCGCTCGGGTTTACCTGAGGCCTCAGCCACTGCCACATATGTGTCGGGCCGGATCAGATATGCCGCATTGCGTGCCAATCCTGCTTGCCTATGCTGAGAGCACCAACTAAAGCAGTGCAACGGAGTGTTTCTCAGCTGGCACCATTTCGCCAGTTCAGTCGAAGACTCGCCGTACACGTGGACCTGCCAGGTAATTTCCTTGAGAGATTCATAGTTGTCGACTTCACCTACTGACACCCATGGTAGCCGATCTCCACCCTTAACAGTGCCGGCAGACCCGGCAGACAGCAGGCTGTGTTGATACTGTATCTTAAGCTGGGACAGGCCAAAGAATATTCGTCGACGAACGAAGCCAAAATTGACGGCAAGCTTCACAACGAACGGAATGAGGTAGCTGCGCATGAAATTGGCCAGCCAGCCTCTGGCGGCCAGTTTGTTGAAGGCCGAATCGGTCGTCTTGACGAGAGTCAGCGCAAAGGCTCGTCGCTCCGACTCGTAGGTATCTAACAGTGATGCATCCGCGTTTCGCTGCAACACAGTAGCCAGCTTCCAAGCGAGATTGATCGCATCACCAATGCCTGTGTTCATCCCCTGTCCTCCGACTGGACTATGAATGTGGGCAGCGTCCCCAACGAGAAACGCGCGACCGCTCCGGAACTTGTCGGCCACGCGGTGATGAACTCGATACGCCGTGAACCAGTTCACCTTGTCAATTTGCATCATTTGGCGCATAGCTGGTGTGGCTAGGGCCAGGTCCTCGAAATTGACGTTTGAAATGTCCTCCTTGGCTTGGATTTGAGCCAACTGCTTTCCATCCACGTTGCCTATCAGTCGGGCATGCCGCTCAGAGTCGTAGGCAAGAGTGAGGAAGGTGACATCGCCGTCGAGCTGGAGGTGCCCTTCGCCGTTGATGGCCAGCCCCTGGCCCTCAATATCGGCGACAAAGAATATTTGACCATACGTCTCGCCGGTAAACTTGATCCCTGCCGTACGCCTGACTGCAGAATGGGCGCCATCGCACCCGACGATATACGCGGCTTCACACGTCTGGAGATCATCTGCTACTTCGCTAGACTCCGGCGTGGTGTTCCGTGTTCGCGTGTCTCTGAATCGCGCCACCACTCCGCCATCATTCTCCGCAAAATCCACCAACTCCATGTTCCGTTCCACCTCCACCCCGAAGTCTCTCAACCGTTCCTCCAGCATCCTCTCCTGCACATCCTGGGGAACGATCAAGATATATGGGTACGGCGTCAATCCCATTCCGAAGTGACCGAAGGGGATGCGAAACCGATGCACCCCCTGTGTCCAGATGTTGGTTGCCCCCAGCGGATGGCCCAGGGCCACCAGCCGATCCCCGAGGTCTAGTTGCCGATACAATTCGAGAGTCCGAGCATGGACTGCGAGCGCACGGGAGGTTGTGGCGGTGCGTTCCGCTCGGTCGGTGATGCGGACCTTGATGCCTTGGCGCGAAAGCCACAGAGCCGTGACCAGGCCGGTGGGGCCTGCGCCGACAATAAGAACATCAGTTTCGTGCATGTTTGCTTTGCTGGTCTGTTGGAATATGCTGCTGATACCAAGTGGAAATCGGTGACTCTTTATACTATTGTGCATTGCTTGGCGAAAACAGCAAGGCTTCCCATCACCTGACTGGTAAGAGTCACAAGCGGTCGGGGAGACCAGGAGGCTCGGCTCTCGGCTTTCCGTTGGTACCGATGAGGCGGGAAATGCGGGCCTCGCAAGGCCGGTCACCGTTGGCGGCCCCGATTAAGATCGATCGATATCGATAAGATCGCGCAGCTGAATTTAGTGTATCTCTCTGCATTTGGCAAAGAGGCTATCATCAAGACACTATGCTCGAGCCTGGGATGCTCGAGACTGGGTAGATCGAGCAGCGTTGTCACAGAAATTCGATGTTTGTATGTCAACTTGTAATACTGAAATGATAAGGTAGGTAATTGATCGTGCCGACTTGACCATTATGCGATCATTTTTGCACATAATAAAGCTAACGGATTTTGCTCTCCTGCATTGCAAGGATGATTGTTCGTGAGCTCAATTTCCCATCTTTTCCTCATCTGCTGGGCTACAGTAGCCATCACTATATCGAAAAATATTGCTGGCTAACTCAAGTCATGCTTGGCATGGTCATGGTGAGACTTTGGAATTTGCGGCTGTGCGGAGGCTGCATGGTCGGACAGTGCATGGGAGACGGCGGACTTAACGACTTCGTTCGGCGGTCCCTCCACAAGGTTGAGCAGACCCGCCCGCACATTCTTGTCATTGACCAACTCCCTCAGAATCCCCCAAATGACCAGTCATGGCATGACTGATGACTCCAATTCGATGTTAAAGGCATGGTGCTCTGGCATAGTTTTCGGCCCCCTTCGCGCAAATGGGAATTATGATTGTCAACATCATCGCTGGCGAGATGCGGAATTATCACGACTGGAGAAGCGAATCTAGCCCTGAGATACACAGAAGAAGCTAGGATTTACAACATGTGGGAACAAAAAGATCGAAGCAGAGAAGAGAGAAGAAAGATAAAGTATTCTACATCGTCAAAGTCGACTCCGAGGCTCGTCATGAGTTAAAGGCAAGTCCGCGGGCACCACAAGACCTCCTGTCATCCCTCTTTCCTCCCAAAAGCTTTTAATCTCAGTCCAATAACGATCAGAATGATCTTTCACTAAGGCGCAGTGCGGGCTGTCAGAAAATGCGATGCCTTTCACTGTAAAACACTTTATCAAGTCGGCAGCCGCCTCTCTCTGGTGCGACTCCACATCCTCCCATCGAACCATCGAATCTGCTGTAGAATACAGATACAATCTGGGAGCCGTCTTGCCAAAAGTCGCTGGGTCATTCAACTGCGCCCGCAGGCCCCGGACCGAGCTCATCCATCCCGCCTGCTGAAGCCCGGTGATGACGCCAATCACGGGGTAAAGCAGTACTCTCCCGACCGCTTGCGCCAGCACTGCGCGCGGCGGCAAAGAGTGCGCGGCGGCCTGGTACGCGCGCCCGAAGGAAGTATCGCCCGGACAGCAGTCGAATATGATCCCGCCCAGGTGTCTCCCCAATTCGAGTGGTGGGTGACCTCTTGCATCCTCCACCTGGAGAGAGAGGGCTAATTGGATTGCGGTATTGCACCCGCCATGAGAGAAGATATGCAGGAGGATTGACTGGTAGTCATCGCGGTCCCCGTTGTTGATAAATCGCCGCAACACGTCCCGGGCGGGGGCCAACCGCGCGTGCAGGACGCTGAAAGGGAGCAGACCGATCTCTAGGATGCGCGTCATGATGAGAAGAATCGCCGAGGTCGGGTACAAAATTTGATAGCCTGAGATGTATTTCTGGATCCGCGAGGGTGTGGCGCCTCCTAGCCAGGTACAGAGGGTGATCAGGGCGGGGCCACTGCTTGTCGTCTCGGGAGGCTGGAAGAAGTAGATGTTTGCGCCAATCGGCTGTAGAGGGTGGAATTGGACTTCCTCCGCCATGGTTTATTTGTTCTTGCGCACCGAGCAATAAGTTTGTGGTGTAGAAATGCAGACTATATAACGAGTCTCTGTCGGGGGAAGAAGAAAAAGATAGTGGAGAAAAGAAACAAAGGAAAGAGGTGTGGTGGATAGGGAACTGCAGCAGAAGCTAAGTTACCCGCGGCTACTTTAGTTACTGCTTGGCTAGTTAGTCCCGTCAAACAGGCTTAGTGCTTAGTGCTTAATGTATGATGAACGCCTTGGTAATAGAGACCTAACAGTTTTAGTCTCTGCAGGAACTATACAAGGAATGTAGCCGGCAAAGATTCTCTTTCAAAAATAAGAATCTCACCTCGTAAGACAGACTCTATGATCGGATAGTAGTCACTATGATAACTTCCGCACTTGCGCATTGCGAACTACTGGTACTGGTACTCCCTAGAGTGTTCACTAGACCAAGCAAGTAGATGATAATATCAATAGATTGGTAGCGGGTCTTGCCGGCACCGACATATATTATCTTTACATGAAACCCAGTGCACTTCACAGTAATTTCAATTCGGTACAGATCAGAATGCGAGACGTGTAAAACTGCGTATGTCTTTGCAAGCTAGCAACAGTAGCATGTCTATCAGTTCATCTTCGCCAAGCTGTGTTATCTACAACTTTCCAAGCCATACTTATATTCAGTGCAACATGCATACATATTAGTCCATATCAAATGATCCTAGATATGTTTAGCGAGGGTGATACATGGTCGATTAGGCCGAGATCGGATGCATCGAGCACGAGGACACCTAGGTAAGGGCCTGGGTGTGTATATCCATACTTGCAGAAAGTATGAAGTCCTTGGACACAATCAGACAACCTCCGAGGATTGTGCAGTATCTAGCCACAAGCCTAAGATCTCGTATTCGCCACTCTCCGCCCGGTGGCTGGAGATGGTGGAGCAACCTCTACTTAACTACCGTAGATGACAAACCAGCTTTCTTGTACAATGCCCGGGTTCCTTTGACCGCCTTAAGTTACTTCTTTCGCGCTTCCTCTATAGGAATGATCTGAGGCTCTTCCACGAATGCCAATCATGAGTTATGATAAAACCGCCAGATCTGAAATGATCTAATCCAATTCCACTTTCACGTTCTCAAGGCACGTTACCGAGTACATAGTCATTTGTAGTGCGCTGCAGAGTACCTACTAAGTACAGTACACATGTACGTGATATACATGTGTATGTAGTCCAGGCCCGAAGTGGTGGCGCGAATGTTCATGTAGATCACTCCGCAAATCTTTGTTAATGAGATCCGGACAAAAATATCTGATTTGCACTCACACCGGATCCAGTTTAATCGATCGGCAGCTGGTATTGAAGGTTGAGTCAAAGTATGACGTCACGATCCACTCAGCGTCGCGTTTGCGCCTTGGGCCATAACCGGCTGCCCTAGTCCCTAGTGCCTCAGGCATGCTTCGAGCTTCTGCCTAGACTAAGCGCAACGAGAGTGTCAGTGCCTGGATCTTGTACTAGAGCGGTGAGCATTTCTGCCTACAGGCACCGAAGTGAAGCCTGTACTAGCCCGCTTTAGGAATGTACTCTGTCCGATCAATGATGGATCTCCTGAACTTTATAACACGGCAAGACACCTCCACCTCGATGTTGATCATTGACAATTATCTTTCTTTCATCTCTGGCTGGAAGTCTCCTTCCTTTATTCTAAAGTCTTCAACTCGCTTCCCTTGAACACATACCAACTCCTTTCGCATCGTCACTTCTCTGCTTCGCTTGCCACCAATATGGCAACTATGTTTACATTTCCATCTCTACCTGTGAAGCACCGGAATTTCCCCAGCTGGGTCCAAAGCCAGCCCCTCGCCTCGGTACATGACCTTGTGCAACCGTACAATCAATACGACGCGGTGGTACGGAAGCTGTTCGCCCAGGAGCCGTCTCATCCCCTTCTAAAAGATCCTCATTTGAATGTCGTTCCACTGTACGACGAGAATGGCATAGCCGATATCCACGTACGGGCACGTCAGCTTGACTCGGAAACCCCGCGAGAGAAGGAAAAGTATATTCTACCATTGAAAGGGGAAGACCGCCGATCCAGTGGCTCTCCAGCGGTGGTTCCGAAGTTGGAAGAATTCCAACGTAACTTCACCATCTTTTCCGAGGGCGCGTTGAGTGATTTCGACTGGTCGAATGTGGTAGTCGCAGGAAGTGCGGTTGTGACTTGCTTACTTCCCGTGCCAGAAAAATACAATGACTCGAAGCGTTCGCTGCGCAAATTTTACCATGAGAAGATAGCCCCCGCGTCCGATGTTGATCTCTTCTTGTATGGGCTGAATGAGCAGCAGGCCCTGGAGAAGATTAAGCAGATCGAAGACCGGATCAAGAACACCATCCTCTACGAGGTGACAACGGTGAGAACCAAGAACACAATCACAATCGTCTCCCAGCATCCGACCCGCCACATTCAAATTGTCCTGCGCATCTACAAGTCAGTAGCGGAGATTTTGACTGGATTCGATGTGGACTGTTCTTGCGCCGCTTTTGACGGCAAGCAAGTTTATGTCTCGCCTCGTGCTTTGGCTTCATACATCACACAGATTAACACTATTGATCTGACAAGGCGCTCTCCCTCGTATGAGAATCGCCTTTCCAAATACTCTCATCGTGGATTCGAAGTCTTCTGGCCAGAGCTAGACAGATCACAAGTCGATCCCGTAAGTAGGCACTTGCAAGTCTTACTTCTTATATCTGAGCTAAAGACTTTGGACAGACTATATTCGAGCGAAGCTTCACGCGGGTAGTTGGCTTGGCCCGCTTGTTGGTTTTAGAGCGACTCCCTAAGCAATCCGACCGAGACTTCTACATTGAACAAAGACGAGAGGAGCGTGGTCGGCCGGCACCCAAAAGCAGATCATGGCGGAGGGGCGTGCGTGGTGATCTCAAGAGCGACTGGGATGATGAAGTTGCGGAGTGGGAGAACGAAGACCATATCTCTTCATATGAAACATTTGTACGTCTTCTTGTCTGTTCTACAACGGGCTGACCTGCTGATATTCTAGCATTAGAGAATTCCATATGGGCCAAGATACAACGCCAAGAGAATCGAGCGACTTATTTACGCAAAGGATCTGTTACTCAATGCGGAATGGAACAAGAAGAAAGAAAGACAGGTTGACCTTCACAGACATCCTGCTTTCTTTGGGAATGTGGAGGATGTTATCCAAGATTGTTGTGGTTGTTGTCCCATACCAATGTCGCCTGAGGACTGTGAGATTGCGGGAAAGGAAAGCAAGATTTATGTTTCGGGAAACATTTCCTTCATCAAGGACGATCCTGGCCGCCAAGAGATCGGAAGTTTCAATCCGACTACAGAGACCGAGTGGACTGGTAATCGCAAGTCTCCTGATCACAAGGCCTGCGCTAACGATTGACACAGATATGGCCTATCTGGGACACACAGAAGTACTTTGCCAGGCGATCGTTGACTGCGACTTGGAAAAGGTGCGGGAATGTGTCTCAACGGACACCCTAAGTATGAACAGTCGCGATTGCACGGGCCGGACACCGCTGCATTTAGCTTGCATGTCCTCAACACCGGCAATTGTACAATGCCTTGTCGATCATGGCGCAAGGCTGGTGTCTCGCCTGGCGGATGGCCGATCTGCCCTGCACCTAGCCGCTGCACGAGGGTCGGTGGATATGGTCCGTATTTTACTTACGAAAAGTGACCAGAATGAAGGCGAAGCAGATAGTCTCAAGGTGAATGAGGAGAATGATCCTAGTCCTGCTGAGGAGGCACAGTCTTTTACTACCGGTTCATTTGTGAAGGTCGACAAGAATGTTAATACGGACATTGACGACCCTCTCCCGATTGAAGACGCGGAAGATGAACCTGATGTTTACGACATAAATGCCGCATCCTGGGATAGCCGTACAACTGCACTTCATCTGGCCATTCTCAACGGCCATGCTGATGTGGTCCACGAGCTCGTGTCATCTTTCGGAGCAGACGTGCTTTTGCCGGTGAAACTGGTGCATGATTACGACAATAGTCCCAAAGCCGCTATCTTGAACCTGGTTCTAACACTGAATCTACTTCCCACTGAGGCAACCACGATGACCGAAGCACTTCTGAAGCTGGGCGCATCACCAACACAGGCTGATATGGACAATACCACCCCTTTGACTTACGTCGTTGCCTCTTGGTACAACAACCTTCTGGACGTCTTTATGAGCTACAGCGCCCCCGCAACGCGGAAAGCGATTAACTACTTCACATGCAGGGGTTCTTCTTGGTATCCCAAGATCTTGACGCCGCTCATTGCGTCAATCTCGTCAAGGAATCGTGAAGGGGCACAAAAATTGTTGCAGGCCGGGGCAAGCCCATCGATTCAATTCGAACAGTTTGTGAAGCCTGGTCAAGGGGCTTACGAGCAGCTTCGAGACAGATCAAATGATCGGCTGAAGGAAATATTCCGGTACCGACTGACGCAGCCTATTATGTTAGCAATCCAACAGGATCTACCACTGCTTGCTCTCGAGCTCTTGGAACTTGGAGCTGACGCCAATACCCTGACACCCGAAGCCTATAGGGCTCAGGATGAGGATTACCAGTTGGGAAGTAATGGTGATGGGATGTCTTTGCTGGACTGCGTTCGGAATAAGCTCAAGGCGCTTCGTGCTTATCCGGAAGACGAGTCACAGCAGCGTTGCTGGCAGACATACAGCTTCGAGAATGACTATTTGTCTGATCTCACTGAGAATACATATCAACGGTGGTCGACCAAAAGCCTTGTGTGGGACGCCAAAAACCAGAATAGGGCAGGGAAACGATTTGGCCGCAAGTTCAACAACCAGGGTCGGCAAGAGAATGGTCAAGCGGAGAAAGATCTAGCTGTCCAAGCCCTTATCTCTGATTTCGAGACCTTAGAAGCTGCTCTTATTAGCAAGGGAGGCAAGCCTCTCGATGAGCTATGCCCGGATCTTGTCGAGTTTCGAGAAGAAAGTACAAAGGAACCGAAGAAGCTCAGGCCCTTCGAGCCCGAGTTCCAATTCCCCAATGTGCGTGATATGACTGACAAAAAGCAGGAAGCCTATGTTGAGC